CTGTAAAGAATAAATACAAAGCGTGGTTCAGTTTTACAGATTTGAGCCGAAATCTCAAGATGGCCAAATAGTCTAATAAGATAATTATTCTTCTGGGGATGTAGCTGAGACAAAACATGAAATATAGATGCTATTTTTATGCACCCATCATTCAGATTTTTTAAAAACTCTAGTAAAAAATTGGTAGCAACCTATATTTCCACTGATGTGGGCTGGAGATAGTGGATAGGTCAATTCCAGTGGATGTGTCTTTAAAATGGAGGTTTATGAAGTTATGCAAAATAATATTTAGGAGCAAATTAAAAGATAATCAGGGACTATGTTTCTGGTAAAAGTTACAGTGTGCCTACCATCTAATTCCAAAGGTTTAAAAAAACATGCCTAGAAAATAACTGGAAGGAAGTGTCCTAATAATACCAAACCTCCCTTGTTTCTAGATGGGTTGAGCTAAGTGACTTTCTCTTTTTCATGCTTTTAAAGTTATTATTTGCCAGTGGGGGAAAAAAAACACTCCTTTAAACACCTCTTGTTGTTTGACGACAGGATGGAGTAGATGATTCATGTGGAGATTATTGTTGAGTACCTACCTGCCCCGTGTCAAGTGTTGGCTTAGATACCACGCTCACAAAATAACACCCAGCACCTGACTCTGGCACAGGCCACTGTGGAAGGCCAGGCTGTCTGGTTGAAAGTCTTGTGTTTTTTTTCCCTGTCATTTATGAGTTCAGCATGGAGTCCTCAGTGGGTTGAGGCTTTCCAAATATCAAAGCCAGTGGAGAATCCCAGGATCCAGTTTTAATGACCTTGGTCATATGACCTTTGGACTCCTGGGGTGATTTTAAAGGAACCTGAGCATCAGAACTTGATCCACAAAGGGAGAATAGGGTGATGGAGACTCAGGAGTGACCTGTATGGGATTGTGGAGGGGGTCTGCAGTAGTGACTATAAAAGGCTTTCATGGTTGTCAGGGTGTTCATTTTTTTGTTTTTGGTACGGGGAATTGAACTCATGACCTTGTACTTGCCAGGCAAGTGCTTGAGCTGCTGAGCCAAATCCCTGGTCCTAGGTTTGGCGCCATAGGTAAATTCCCAGGGGTGGGGAAGATGACATCACGGTAAATTCCTAGGGGTGGGGGAGATAGGAGCTTCCTGGTTCCTGTTGAGGCTTTTCTGGCTAGAGTCCTGTCTGGGCCAAAACCCTTTCAAATTTAATTTGACATAATCTCTTTAAATGGTTGGCAGCAGTCATTTAGGGCTCTTGTCATTCCATACAGCAAGGCACCTTGGGAGAGCGCCCCACCCCATCTCTCCCCAGTGCTGTTCAGTTCAGGGCTCTGGCCAGCCACCTCAGCAAGCTTTTGTGCAGTTAGGAGCCATGCAGCCGTGTTCCCGTGGCACAGCTACTTACACATCTTTTCTGAGCCTCACTAGCTTATTCTCCGTGTGTTTTGTTTCTGTAGGCAGGGGCTGAACAAGCGTTGTGTGTTTTCACTTCAGTTACATTTATTGGTACATTTGGGAGATACCTAATGATCATCATAGAGGATTTGTACCTCTACATGGTACTGTTTACTTTCCCATTCCCCTACCCTCCCTTCAACGTTCCTCCCCTTATCCATTTACAAACTTTCCTTTCCACATTTTCTTTCTGTTTTGCGTTAAGTAATCAGATTTACACTCTTTTCCCTTTTTGCTTCTTGATTTTTAAGACATAATCAGGAAACACCTGTTGAGTACATAGAAAAAAATCACCCAAAGCTTTTTTGATATAGTCGTTTGTTTCTGCCATCAGTTGCTGATCCTTTTAATCCACAATGTGAATAACAAGGGGAGGCTCTGTCACCTACAATGCCAGCCACCTGGGACTCGGCCCTGACTCTGAGGTGAGCTGACACGCCAAGGGTCTGCACCCTGAACTTCGACGGGTGGCCCCGCCCCACCCGGGCGAAGGTGCCAGCCAGGCCAGCAGCCACGTAGCGGCACTTGCAAGGCCCGGTGCCCAGCTCCAGCGGTGAAGGCACCTGAGTTTGGTGCCCTAGCGGCTACTGTCCAGCCTTGCCCTGCTGCCACTGGACCCCGCCCCCGGCCGCCCTCCAGTTGGGCGCTCCACCCGCCGGCCTCCTTCACTGGATGCTCCCGCCCTGCCCCTGCAGCTTTGTGGTGGTCCTGGAGACCCTCTGTTACCTATGTTTATGGTTCATAGAGCAGCAGGAAGCCGAAGGTATAGCTGTGCAGTTCTGCCCTCTGCTGCCACTGCCACTGGGAAAGACTTCTTTGCCATTGCCGGGTCCGGCCGGGTCTGCAGAGAGCGGTCCTTCGCTATGGACACGGTATCAGCCACTGTAGCCGGGGTCTTCGTGTTCCCGGGCACCCCTCAGCTGCAGAAGCCCCTGTTGAAGCTGTACTTGGCCTTTGTAGCCCTGCTACTGAAGGTGAGGCGGGGGAACCAGGGTTGGGTAAGGGGCACTGGTCGCCTGCTGGTGGGATGGTCCCTTCGGAAGGTACCCGAAAGGCAGGATCCTGGTGTGGACTGCAGAGCGCCGGCTGTCTTGAGGGAGCCGCATGGTCTGAAGCCAGCCATCGCCTTGGGAGCCACATTCACGCCCCACCTGTTTCCTTGCAAGGATTGTTTCCTGAGGGTGCACCGAACTGAGATGCAGCCTCCTGGAGGAGTGATGCCTGATTTGTGGAGATCATTGTCATAGTGCTTTTGTTTGCAGATGCAAAAACTGATGGCTTCTATCATGTATTTACAATGTGGGGTGGGTGTGTGTGTTTGTGTGTGAGTGTGTGTGTATGAGTGTGTGTGTGTGAGTTTGTGTGCGTGCACGCGTGTGCAGCAATGGAAAACAGCTCACCTAAGCGTGATCTGGGCCATGCGTGAGACACTGCAATGAAGAAGGGCTGTTGGCCAACTGGGAAATAGGCTCAACTCACTCCCTAAGTTTAGAGACTCCACATATGGGACAAGAAAGTGAGCCTGACTGTATCCCCTTTCCGGAAGTTTCTACAGGGCACCTGGAAGTTGGTTTAGACTATGGAGAGTAGATCAAGAGTGTCTGTGATGATCCTTTGTGATTGCTCCGCCAGTTCTGTTAAGGGTTTCCGTTATTTGTGCCCTTCCTTTTCAGCTGGTTGCAGTGTTACCTGAGAATCTCCAGCCCGGGCCTGGAGACTTTTATGGGCTCCCCTGGGAGCCTGTATTGCTTAATACCTGTGTTGGAATCCTTATGCTTGCGATTTTCTTGTGGAGGAATGTTTTTCCAGTGAGTGAATTAACTTGTTCTTTGACTTCTGAATATATTGAGGATTCTATTATCATTGGCCCTTTCAGTTATTAACATAAACAAATCAGTGGTTATAATTCAAGTTAGTTTTCTGAAATAATTTAATCTTGGTACTGGCAAACACTTAAGAGCAAGCTAACCATATCCACGTGTTAGTAGAGTTGGTGACTCGTACAGCCATCCTGAAAACCAGTTTAATAATTCTATATATCATAAGCCTTTAAAATGGGATACAAAACAGGATAAGAAATATAAGTTGCTTTTATATGGTATGATAACATCAGTAAGTGATCTTAAAGAAATAAATTACATGTTAAGATTTTATACAAAGGTATTAGATGTAGTATTTAATAGAGTAATAACTTGGTGAAACCTAAATGATCTATATTAGGGAATATCATGTTTCATCTTATTTATATCCACAGAACAGAATATTAGGCTGCTGTATGTATTTCAAAGGCAGGGGGCAAAGAAGGTGTTCACGATTTAATGTGAAGTGGGAAAAGGGGAAACAGACCATGAGGTAGTGATGAACTGTGCTGTAGAAACATACAGGGCAAGAAATACAGTAAGATGGTAGAAACGTCCAGGCAAGATCAGGCAGAGTGGTGTGTGTATTCCTGCAGCCCTGGAGGAGAGGGAGGCTGAGACAGGAGAAGTGCAAGTTTGAGCCCAGCCTGGGCAACTTGGTCACTTACCAAGAGCCTGTCTCAAGGAAAATGGGAAGGCTATGTGAAAGCCCTGTCCCAGGTACCACCAAAAAACAAACCCAAAACACCACCCTATGAAAGATTCCTGTGAGGACTTCTGGAATCTCACTGAACAGCTTCTTGGATGAAAGCACGCCTGGAAGGGTTAGCAGAGTGTTTCGGGGTGAAAAGGTGCTGTTTCCCCTGCTCCTCTCCTTTGGTTTCCCTGCAGCTGCTACCCAGCAGGGCTCTCAGGCTCAGCCCTGCAGCTTCACACCCTGCCCCTGGGCTCACTGCCTCCCACTCCCTGAGGTCACATGGCTCTGAGGCCCACTCCTGATCCTGGAGAGGACAGTCCCCCCCCACACGCCCCTCAGCTGGCCACTGCACTCTGCTGTCCTATACTGTTTATAGCACTCGGAAGGAGAAGACAGTCTGCGTTACAGAGAAATGCAGTGACCGCTGCTGTGGTATTTAATTAGTTACAGTTTAGGATTTAGGACCCCAGAAGGCACTGGGAGGAAGAACTGGGTCTGTGCTCTTCCTGGAAGCCCTTAGCTGTCATTTCTCTGTGTTCTTCTGGTGTCTTCCCTTCTGCTTAGATTTATTACTGTTTTTGTGGTCTGGGGAAATCAGATGATGAGCTGTATTAGATTATTTCTTAATTGAGTCAATAGATCACTTGAAATAGGGTTTCTGAGGTATCTTCCAGTGGGTGAGAGAGGCGTATCTTAGTGCAAAGGTTATGCTGGTAATCTCGCTCGCCAGTCTTCCATATGGTCACCCATTTCTAGACTGCATGCTTGCCTTTGGGATTGTCAAGTAATTTTGAGTAAGTAAATCAATAATGTGTGTATTATAAAAACAAGCATTTCACTGTTGAAGCCAAATGCTCATCTCAGAAGCCTGGTGTTCACTTGGTCCTGGCACACAAGCCTGTGTGTAGCTGTGAAGTAAGACACGCTCCTTACTCTTCCTCTGTATCAGAGGCTACTTATAATACATTTTTAATTGTATGGGTTTATTCTGAACTAAAGTTACTAAATTTTCACTTGGTTATGATCCTGACTTGTGTTAGGAACTATGCATTCCTTTTAATCAAATGTTTGACATCAAATTTCTCTCTTTTTCTTCTAGGTAAAGGAGAGAATATACCAAGGTAAATCTCTTCCTGTTGGTGTTTGGGAGGACTTTTAGGCAGGCTAGGAGCGACAGTGACTTTGGTGTCTGATTTGACTCACTAACTGCTCCACATTTTACTGTTGCTACTAACCATGGTATAGTGGGGAGGGTGATGGTACCGGCTGAGCTAGGAGATGTGGGGGCAGGGGTGACTGCTTACTTGGAGCAGACAGAGCGTGGCTGGGTCACACAGGTGTGGAGAGAGGACAGTGTGTCTGTGCTAGGGACACCTCGGCCCCTATAGGTTTATCGGCACAGGAGCTCGAGAGACAGCAGTGTAGATGTGTAGCCTAAAGTTTCTTTTTCTCGTAGCAAATGACATTCATTTGAAGTGATCCAACTTAATGTCATGTGACACCCTGTTGTCCTAGCAGCCCACTGTTGAGATTGTCTTGGGGCTTGGTGATCTCTGGGCTGAGGCAGCTTCTTCACATGGCAACCCCAAGGACTCTTTGTTCTTGGGCCAGCCATGCCCTGGCCCTGCAGGTGTGGTCGGTTTCCAGCTTCAATGGCTCCCAACATCTGTAATTCATACTTATGTCTGGGTCACTGGGGTGCAGTAGCAGCAGGCAAGCGGGGAAAGCTGCTTTTCCACCCCTTGAAAACTGGATGTGTACGCTGGAGCCTTTGCCTTTGTGTCGGCCTCTGTGCCAGAGAAGAAACTCACTCAGCTTTCTGGAGATGACACACGGGTCCGTACTCACGGCCTCTGCTGTTCTGTGGTTCTCAGGCACTTGGCCAGGGTCACCTAGGGGTACTTGTGGGGATGGGGAGCCACAGTCCAGGCTGTGAGGGCAGAGGCTGGAGAGCAGCATGGTCTGAGATGAGGAAAGTGGTCAGGGTGCCACCCCAGCTGCAGAGGGTGCTCAGAGTGCGAGTCTGGACCCACGCCGGCCAGCTCCCCCTAGACCATGTGGCATGCTGTCTTGGCAGGAGCTCACAAACTCTAAGGGTGCAGTTGTCATGAAAGTCAGTGTGTCAGTTCTGTTGGTGAATTGTTTTTCTTTACAGTGTTTCATGAGCATTAGTTTAGTTTTGTGGAAGTCAAGACCACAGTTTTAGAAACGGCACAGGAAGACACAGCCACACTTGTTCTCTTTGTAGGTGGGGAAAATAAGAAGGCTCACATGCACCAGCTGATGGATGTCTCCCAGGTGAGTCCCTTCACAGAGACCCCCGGGGGCCCTTGAGTCCTGACTGAGCCTTACTTTCAAGCCTGTGCCCCTCCCTCACAATTTTCAGACACGTCCCGCAATATCCGTATTTCAGAAAGATCTCCAACTCCTGCAGTCGAAGCTGAGAGCCTCCCTGTCTGCCAGATGTGATCTGGAAGGTAGGTCCCTGACTGCATGGTGGTCAGGCTGAGTGCCGGCATGAATGAGGCAGGGATGCTGGGAGCCTGGTTCTGTGTCTTTGGCGGTGCCCTTGGTGACGTGTCTCACCTCCCAGACCAGATCGTGAAGCTAGGTGAGGACCTCGGCAGGCTGCAGGCAGACAAGGCCCGGATGAGGAGGAGTTTAGCATGCTGCAGCAGAAGGTGGAGGTCCTGAAGGAGCTGTCCCACCAGAAGGAGCTGGAGCTGCAGAAGTGAGTCCCAGACATTTTGCCCAGTGTCTCATGCTGGCCATTCCTGTCACTTCTGATTGCCTAGCAGCTTCGATGTGCAGTGATCATAGAGGAAACTTGGGGCCCAGGGTGCTGCTGGTTTCCTGTGATGGCGACCTGAGGCTGCTCCTGCCTGTCCGCCGTCACCTCATCCAGCTAGCAGTTTGGCCCAGCGTCCCTGCCTCTGTAGCCTCAGCTCCACTGCTTGTTTCTTAAAGCCTAGGGATTTGTGGAGGGCTCAGTTCAGCATCTTTGGCATTGTCCTCCATGTGTGGGTTGAGGGAGGGCAGCACTGGCCTCTGGGGCCCACATTTCGCTTTCTGGCTGGGGCCAAGGCTCCCGTCCACCCATTCGGCCTATCTTGTGTGCTTATCATGGCCTAAGTCTAGAGGAACAGCTCTTCCCAGACAGTGTGGGGGAAGGGGTGGGTAGACTCCGCCTATTGCTTTCCCAGCAGCTCTGCTGGACAATCCTGGCTTCCCTCGGGGTACACTCATCTCCCACACAGGCAGCTAGAGCCTGGCGCATGCTGTGCTCTTAGCTTGTTCTGCCACAGCGCAGCTTTCCCAGCTCCCCATTTCCGAGAAGTGCTGAGCAGGTGGATCCCGCGCAGGCGGAGGCCTCCTTCGACCTCCCCACCCCCACTTGACGCCTGCTCTGTGAGCCTGGTACCTCTGGCTCCACTCGAGGGCTCCCTGGCCTCCTTCCTCCTATGGGCCTTGCAGTTGCCTGTCAGAGGCAGCCATGCCTCTGCTCCCTCCAGGACAGTCCTCGGGGCTCTGCAGTGTTCCTGAGGGCACTTCCGAGGGCGTGCCCGTGGCTTCTTCCGGTCCTTGTCCTCATCCTCGTACTCGTCCTGGGAAAGTCCTCTGAGTGCCTTCTCTGCCCCCAGATCCAGGCCCTGGCCCTGTGGCCAACAGCAGCTCCCACGGCTCCTCCCCAGAGAAGAACATGGACAATGCCAAGGTGAGCCTAGAGCCCGTGCCTTGGCCCCTGCTGCTCCCTGGGCCCTAGGTTTACCCTCTGTTTTCCAGCTGGCCTGGGCGTGGCGACCCCACAGACTAGGTCACCATCTGACTGGGGCCTTCACTAAGACTGGGGCCACGTGCTGAGTGCTGGAGCAAAGCACACCTCATGTCCCTGACTTGAGTGTTTGGTTTGGTACTTATTTTGAGTCAGGGTTTCCTTATGCAGCTCAAGCTGGACTTGACCTCACAGTACCCAGAGCCCACCTGCAGTTCCCTAGCAGTCCTCCCCCCTCGGCCTCCCGAGTGCGGGATGACCGGTGTGCATTGCCACACTCGCGTGCCCTTGATTTTTGGGAGCAGCTGTTGGGGTCCTCAGGGTCTGTGCTAGGCAGACCCCTTGCAATGATGGGGATGAGGTGGGCGTGGGCTCTTGTGGGAGTGGGAAGCCGGTTCCAGGGCCCCCTGAATCCGACCCCGGGCGGCCCAGGCTGCTGTGCCTCCTGGGTCCTGAGGCTGCTGCCTTGGCAGACTTCACACCGCATGGGGCCGCCTGCAATGGTCAGAGCTCGATGGACTGCCTTCCAAGCATCCCAGGCACAAGCGCCTCCGCCAGCCCCTCCCTGTGCAGTGTCAACTGGCCGAGGCAGCTTCCTGTTCCCCCAGCTACCCCGGGACCCTGGGAGCCCTTGTGTCGCCCTGTCCTGCCCAGGGCCACACTCATGCTGGCAAGAGTACAGCGAGCTGGGGAAGCACCCTACTGGCACCTATGGAGCTCCTCTCTGCACGCGAGTGGGGACAGAGTGGTGACCATGCTCGCTGGGTGGCGTGCTGCTCACGAGGGCCTGGCAGGGTCCAGGGATCCCTTGACTCCTCTCGGGACGGGCACCCGGTGTCACTGCCGAGCTTGAAACTGGGCCTGCTTCTGTTCGCAGGTGAGCATGGCCGTGAAGGGGCCCCCAGCCCATCCAGGGCCCCGGTTCCTGGGAGGCCCCATGCCGCCCCACGTGGGCTATGGGTCGCCTCTGCCACCACTGCTCTGCAGGCCCTTCAGGCCTCGGCCGATGTCTCCTAGGCCACTGCCACATTTCGATACGGTAGGACACTTGGGCCAGTACCACCGCCTACCCTGTCCTCTCGCCTACCCTGTCCTCTCTCCTCACCTGTCCTGATTGGCAGCTGCAGCCCGCCTGACTCGAAGCACAAGGCCCAGCACTCTGAGCCCAGTGCAGCCTCCACAGCTGCTTGGACCAGAAGGGCCCTTTCGGCAGAGCGAAAGCCAGTCTCAGCGAGGTGGTCACCTGGGACGCCACAGGCCGCCGGCAGTGGGAGAAGGGAGGGTCAGGCTGTGGTTGAGCCTACTGAGCCTCAGTTTTCCTTATCTGTGATGTCCAGTGCATCACTCGACTTCCTGGCGCAGGGGAAGGGAAACGCTTTCAGCAGACCTGGGCTGTCCTCAGGACGTGTCCGCATGTCCCTCTTGCTTTCCAGTCGCACGCATGGGCCCACCACTGGGCTTAAGAGACTATGCGCCCGGCATGCTGCTGGACGCCGCGACCTGCCTCTACATCCCAGCGAGTTCTTGCCGGGACCTGTGCCATTCAGGCCTCCAGGCCCGCTCGGCGCCCGAGCGTATTTCATTTCGGATCCACGAATGCCACCACCACCCGCTGGACTCCAGGACTACCGACCATGAACTGCCGGGCCCCAGGACAACCCACCGCTGCCTGCCGGGCCCCAGGAATACCCACCGCCACTTGCCGGGCCCCAGAACAACCCACCTATGCCTGCCGGGCCCGAGGACAACCCACCGCTGCCTGCCGGGCCCCAGGAATACCCACTGCCACCTGCCGGGCCCCAGGAGTACCCACCGCCGCCTGCCGGGCCCCAGAAGTACACACCGCCACCTGCCGGGCCCAGAAATACCCACCACCACCTGCCGGGCCCCAGAGCAATCCACCGAGGACTGCGGGGCCCCAGGACAACCCACTGCAGCCTGCCGGGCCCCAGGAATACCCACCACCACGTGCCGGGCGCCAGCACTACCCACCATCGCCTGCCAGGCCCCAGGACTACCAACCACCACGTGCCGGGTGCCAGGACTACCCACCGCTGCCTGCCGGTGCCAGGCCTACCCACCACCACGTGCCGGGTACCAGCACTATGCACCAGCGCTTACCAGGCCCCAGGACTACCCACCACCGCCTGCTGGGCCCCAGGACTACCCACCATTGCCTGCCGGGCGCCAGGCCTACCCACCACCACGTGCCAGGCGCCAGCACTACCCACCATTGCCTGCCAGGCCCCAGGACTACCAACCACCATGTGCCGGGTGCCAGGACTACCCACCGCTGCCTGCCGGGTGCCAGGCCTACCCACCACCACGTGCCGGGTACCAGCACTATGCACCAGCGCTTACCAGGCTCCAGGACTACCCACCACTGCCTGCCGGGCCCCAGGACTACCCACCATTGCCTGCCGGGTGCCAGCACTACCCACCACCACGTGCCGGGCGCGAGCACTACCCACCACCACCTGCCAGGCCCCAGGACTACCAACCACCTCGTGTCGGGCCCCTGGACTACCCACCGCCGCCTGCTGGGCCCCAGGACTGCCCACCGCCGCCTGCCAGGCGACAGGCCTACCCACCACCACGTGCCGGGCGCCAGGCCTACCCACCACCGCCTGCCAGGCCCCAGGACTACCAACCACCACGGGCCGGGCTCCAGGACTACCCACCGCCGCCTGCGGGGCCCCAGGACAACCCACCACCAAGTGCTGGGCCTCAGGACCATGGATGGCCGCCCTCTGCGAGCCTGAACTTCGAATGCTGTGACATTCCCACAGCCGACTTCGGTGAGCCTCTCCGGGGCCTCGAGTCCCAGGACTCCATGACAGCATGCTGCCTTGCCCCGGGCATGGTTCCCTGAGCTCTGGTACAGAGCCCGGGCACTCCTGGCTCGGGTTTCCACTTAGCCCTGGGTCCTGTGCAGGCCCACCTCCATTGCAGTGCAGGAGCACGGTCCTGGGAGCAGTTGCCCACCCCGTCACTCCCAACCCTCTCTGGCTGTGGCATGGCAGAGGCTGCAGTGTCGCCCTCTCCCTCTCTGCACAGTGTTCAACGAGTGGGCGCACTTTCTTCACCACTCATCTCCGGGCCACCAGGGACAGCTCCTGAGCTAGGCAGGTCCGCATGTTACTGGTTCTGTGTGCTGCTCCTAAAGCACGTGGCCGCTGTGTGCGGGCTCAGTCTTCCAAGGCCCTGTTTTCCTCCTCCACAGCCTGAGACCTAAAGCAGCCTCCGCCTCTGGCTTGGGCTGCCACAGCGTAGCTTTCCCAGGTCCCCAGGTCCGCGAAGTGTTGACCAGGTGGAGCCCGCACAGGCTCAGAGCCCTCCTTCGACCCCCCCTACCCCCAACCCCACCCCCACTTGACGCCTGCTCAGTGAGCCTGGTACCTCTGGCTCCACGCAAGGGCTCCCTGGCCTCCTGCCTCCCACGGGCCTTGCAGCTGCCTGTCAGAGGCAGCCATGCCTCTGCTCCCTCCAGGGACAGTCTGCGGGGTGCTGCAGTGTTCCCGAGGGCACTTCCGAGGGCGTGCCCGAGGCCTCTTCCGGTCCTCGTCCTCATCCTCATCCTCATCCCCGTCCTCATCCTCGTCCTGGGAAAGTCCTATGAGTGCCTTCTCTGTCCCCAGATCCCGGCCCTGGCCCCATGGCCAACAGCAGCTCCCACAGCTCCTCCCCAGCGAAAGGACATGGACAACGCCAAGGTGAGCCTGGAGCCCGTGCCTGGGCCCGTGCTGCTCCATGTGCCTTCGGTTTCCACTCTGTTCTCCAGCTGGCCTGGCGTGGCGACCCCGCGGACTAGGTCACCATCTGACTGGGCCTTCACTAAGGCTCGGGCCGCGTGCTGAGTGCTGGAGCACAGCACACCTCACGCCCCTGCCTTGAGTGTTTGGTCAAGCTGGACTTGACCTCACAGTACCCAGAACCCACCTGCAGTTCCCTAGCAGTCCTCCCGCCTCAGCCTCCCGAGTGCGGGATGACCGGTGGGCATCGCCACACTCGCGTGCGCTTGATTTTTGGGAGCAGCTGTTGGGGTCCTCAGGGTCTGTGCTAGGCAGACCCCTTGCAATGATGGGGATGAGGTGGGCGTGGGCTCTTGTGGGAGTGGGAAGCCGGTTCCAGGGCCCCCTGAATCCGACCCCGGGCGGCCCAGGCTGCTGTGCCTCCTGGGTCCTGAGGCTGCTGCCTTGGCAGACTTCGCACCACATGGGGCCGCCTGCAATGGTCAGAGTTCCATGGACTGCCTTCCAAGCAGCCCAAGCCCAGGCCCCTCCGCCAGCCCCTCCCTGTGCAGTGTCAACTGGCTGAGGCAGCTTCCTGTTCTCCCCAGCTACTCCGGGACCCTGGGAGCGCTTGTGTCGCCCCTGTAGGGCCCAGGGCCACACTCATGCTGGCAAGAGTGCAGCGAGCTGGGGAAGCACCCTACTGGCACCTCTGGAGCTCCTCTCCGCACGCGAGTGCAGTCAGCGTGGTGACCATGCTCGCTGTGTGGCATGCTGCTCACGAGGGCCTGGCAGGGTCTGGGGATCCCTTGACTCCTCTCGGGACGGGCACCCGGTGTCACTGCCGAGCTTGAAACTGGGCCTGCTTCTGTTCGCAGGTGAGCATGGCCGTGAAGGGGCCCCCAGCCCATCCAGGGCCCCGGTTCCTGGGAGGCCCCATGCCGCCACACGTGGGCTATGGGTCGCCTCCGCCACCACTGCTCTGCAGGCCCTTCGGGCCTCCGCCGATGTCTCCTAGGCAACCACCAATATTCGGTACGGTAGGACACTTGGGTCAGCACCACCGCCTACCCTGTCCTCTCGCCTACCCTGTCCTCTCTCCTCACCTGTCCTGATTGGCAGCTGCAGCCCGCCTGACTCGAAGCACAAGGCCCAGCACTCTGAGCCCAGTGCAGCCTCCACAGCTGCTTGGACCAGAAGGGCCCTTTCGGCAGAGCGAAAGCCAGTCTCAGCGAGGTGGTCACCTGGGACGCCACAGGCCGCCGGCAGTGGGAGAAGGGAGGGTCAGGCTGTGGTTGAGCCTTACTGAGCCTCAGTTTTCCTTATCTGTGATGTCCAGTGCATCACTTGACTTCCTGGCACAGGGGAAGGGAAATGCTTTCAGCAGACCTGGGCTGCTCCTCAGGACGTGTCCGCATGTCCCTCTTGCTTTCCTGTCGCACGCATGGGCCCACCACTGGGCTTAAGAGACTACGGGACCGGCGTGCTGCCTGGACGCCGCGACCTGCCTCTACATCCCAGCGAGTTCTTGCCGGGACCTGTGCCATTCAGGCCTCCAGGCCCGCTCGGCGCCCGAGCGCATTTCATTTCGGATCCGAGAATGCCACCATCACCCGCTGGACTCCAAGACTACCTACCACCGCCTGCCGGGCCCCAGGCCTACCCACCACCATGTGCCGGGCCTCAGGACTATGCATCGCCGCCTGCCAGGTCCCTGGAGTACCAACTGCCACGAGTTGGGCCCCAGGACAACCCACAACCCCTTGCCGGGCCCCAAGAATACCCACCCCTACGTGCCAGGCCCCAGGACTACACACCACCACATGCCTGGCCCCAGGACTACCGAGCAACACGTGCTGGGCCCCAGGACTACCGACCACCACGTGCCAGGCCCCAGGACTACCCATCACCACCAGCTGGGCCGCAGGAATGCCAACCACCATGTGCCGGGCCCCAGGACTACCTGCCACCTCCTACCAGGCCCCAACATTAACCACCGCCACCTGGGCCCCAGGACGACCCACCACCACCTGCCGGGCCCAAGGGCTACCCACCAGCAACTGTCGGGCCCAAGGGCTACCCATGACCATCTGCCGGGCCCAAGACAATCCACCGCCACCTGCCAGGGCCGAAGACTAGCCACCACCGCCTGCCAGGCCCTAGGACTAGCCACAGCCACCTGCCGAGCCCAACTGTCCAAAACTGCCTGCCCAGCCCCAGGACTACCCACCACCGCAAGCCGGGCCCCAGGAATACCCACCACCATCTGCCAGGCTCCAGGACTACCCACTGCTGCATGCTGGGCCCCAGCACTAGTCCTGGGGCCAGGCAGGCGGTTGTGGACAATCCTGGGGCCTGGCAGGTGCCTGTGGCTAGTCCTGGGGCCCTGCAGGTGGCGGCGGCAGGCGGCAGTGGCTAGTCTTGGGGCCTGGCAGGCGACAGTTGGTAGTCCTTTGGTCCCGCAGGTGACAGTGGCTAGTCCTGGGCCCCGGCAGGCGGTGGTGTGTAGTCCTGGGGCCCGGCAGGTGGTGGTGGGTAGTCCTGGAGCCGGGCAGGCAGTTTTGGACAGTTGGGGCCCGGCAGGTGGCTGTGGCTAGTTCTAGGGCCTGGCAGGCGGTGGTGGCTAGTCTTTGGCCCCAGCAGGTGGCGGTGGGTTGTCATGGGCCCCGGCAGATGGTCGTGGGTAGCCCTTGGGCCTGGCAGGTGGTGGTGGGTCGTCCTGGGGCCCAGCAGGTGGCAGTGGGCAGTCCTGGGGCCCTGCAGGTGTCGGTGGGTAGTTTGGGGCCCAGCAGGCAGTGGTGGGTAGTCCTGGGGCCCGGCAGGTGGCGGTGGTTAATGTTGGAGCCTGGTAGGAGGAGGCAGGTAGTCCTGGAGCCCGGCACATGGTGGTTGGCATTCCTGCGGCCCAGCTGGTGGTGATGGGTAGTCCTGGGGCTCGGCACGTGGTGGTCGGTAGTCCTGGGGCCAGGAATGTGGTGGTGGGTAGTCCTGGGGCCCGGCACGTGTTAGTGGGTAGTCCTGGGGCCTGGCACATAGTGGTGGGTATTCTAGGAGCCCAGTACGGGGTTGTGGGTTGTCCTGGGGCCCAACTTGTGGCAGTTGGTACTCCTGGGACCTGGCAGGCGGTGGTGCATAGTCCTGAGGTCCGGCACGTGGTGGTGGGTAGGCCTGGCACCCGACAGGTGGAGGTGGGTAGTCCTGGGGCCTGGCAGGCGGCAGTGGGTATTCCTGGGGCCCGGCACGCGGTGGTGGGTTGTCCTGGGGCCCGTCAGGCATTGGTGAGTATTCCTGGAGCCCGGCAGGCGGTGGTAGGTAGTCTTGGAGTCCAGCGGGTGGTGGTGGCATTCTCGGATCCGAAATGAAATGCACTCGGGCGCCGAGCGGGCCTGGAGGCCAGAATGGCACAGGTACCGGCAAGTACTCGCAGGGATGTAGTGGCAGGTAGTGGCGACCAGGCAGCATGCCGGGCGCATAGTCTCTTAGGCCCAGTGGTGGGCCCTTGCGTGCGACAGGAAAGCAAGAGGGACATATGTACAAGTCCTGAGGAGCAGCCCAGGTCTGCTGAAAGCATTTCCCTTCCCCTGCGCCAGGAAGTCAAGTGATGCACTGGACATCACAGATAAGGAAAACTGAGGCTCAGTAAGGCTCAACCACAGCCTGACCCTCCCTTCTCCCACTGCCGGCGGCCTGTGGCGTCCCAGGTGACCACCCCGCTGAGACTGGCTTTCACTCTGCCGAAAAGGCCCTTCTGGTCCAAGCAGCTGTGGAGGCTGCACTGGGCTCAGAGTGCTGGGCCTTGTGCTTTGAGTCAGGCGGGCTGCAGCTGCCGATCAGGACAGGTGAGGAGAGAGGACAGGGTAGGCGAGAGGACAGGGTAGGCGGTGGTGCTGACCCAAGTGTCCTACCGTACCGAATATTGGTGGTTGCCTAGGAGACATCGGCGGAGGCCCGAAGGGCCTGCAGAGCAGTGGTGGCGGAGGCGACCCATAGCCCACGTGTGGCGGCATGGGGCCTCCCAGGAACCGGGGCCCTGGATGGGCTGGGGGCCCCTTCACGGCCATGCTCACCTGCGAACAGAAGCAGGCCCAGTTTCAAGCTCGGCAGTGACACCGGGTGCCCGTCCCGAGAGGAGTCAAGGGATCCCCAGACCCTGCCAGGCCCTCGTGAGCAGCATGCCACACAGCGAGCATGGTCACCACGCTGACTGCACTCGCGTGCGGAGAGGAGCTCCAGAGGTGCCAGTAGGGTGCTTCCCCAGCTCGCTGCACTCTTGCCAGCATGAGTGTGGCCCTGGGCCCTACAGGGGCGACACAAGCGCTCCCAGGGTCCCGGAGTAGCTGGGGAGAACAGGAAGCTGCCTCAGCCAGTTGACACTGCACAGGGAGGGGCTGGCGGAGGGGCCTGGGCTTGGGCTGCTTGGAAGGCAGTCCATGGAACTCTGACCATTGCAGGCGGCCCCATGTGGTGCGAAGTCTGCCAAGGCAGCAGCCTCAGGACCCAGGAGGCACAGCAGCCTGGGCCGCCCGGGGTCGGATTCAGGGGGCCCTGGAACCGGCTTCCCACTCCCACAAGAGCCCACGCCCACCTCATCCCCATCATTGCAAGGGGTCTGCCTAGCACAGACCCTGAGGACCCCAACAGCTGCTCCCAAAAATCAAGCGCACGCGAGTGTGGCGATGCCCACCGGTCATCCCGCACTCGGGAGGCTGAGGCGGGAGGACGGCTAGGGAACTGCAGGTGGGTTCTGGGTACTGTGAGGTCAAGTCCAGCTTGACCAAACACTCAAGGCAGGGGCGTGAGGTGTGCTGTGCTCCAGCACTCAGCACGCGGCCCGAGCCTTAGTGAAGGCCCAGTCAGATGGTGACCTAGTCCGCGGGGTCGCCACGCCAGGCCAGCTGGAGAACAGAGTGGAAACCGAAGGCACATGGAGCAGCACGGGCCCAGGCACGGGCTCCAGGCTCACCTTGGCGTTGTCCATGTCCTTTCGCTGGGGAGGAGCTGTGGGAGCTGCTGTTGGCCATGGGGCCAGGGCCGGGATCTGGGGGCAGAGAAGGCACTCATAGGACTTTCCCAGGACGAGGATGAGGACGGGGATGAGGATGAGGATGAGGACGAGGACCGGAAGAGGCCTCGGGCACGCCCTCGGAAGTGCCCTCGGGAACACTGCAGCACCCCGCAGACTGTCCCTGGAGGGAGCAGAGGCATGGCTGCCTCTGACAGGCAGCTGCAAGGCCCGTGGGAGGCAGGAGGCCAGGGAGCCCTTGCGTGGAGCCAGAGGTACCAGGCTCACTGAGCAGGCGTCAAGTGGGGGTGGGGTTGGGGGTAGGGGGGGTCGAAGGAGGGCTCTGAGCCTGTGCGGGCTCCACCTGGTCAACACTTCGCGGACCTGGGGACCTGGGAAAGCTACGCTGTGGCAGCCCAAGCCAGAGGCGGAGGCTGCTTTAGGTCTCAGGCTGTGGAGGAGGAAAACAGGGCCTTGGAAGACTGAGCCCGCACACAGCGGCCACGTGCTTTAGGAGCAGCACACAGAACCAGTAACATGCGGACCTGCCTAGCTCAGGAGCTGTCCCTGGTGGCCCGGAGATGAGTGGTGAAGAAAGTGCGCCCACTCGTTGAACACTGTGCAGAGAGGGAGAGGGCGACACTGCAGCCTCTGCCATGCCACAGCCAGAGAGGGTTGGGAGTGACGGGGTGGGCAACTGCTCCCAGGACCGTGCTCCTGCACTGCAATGGAGGTGGGCCTGCACAGGACCCAGGGCTAAGTGGAAACCCGAGCCAGGAGTGCCCGGGCTCTGTACCAGAGCTCAGGGAACCATGCCCGGGGCAAGGCAGCATGCTGTCATGGAGTCCTGGGACTCGAGGCCCCGGAGAGGCTCACCGAAGTCGGCTGTGGGAATGTCACAGCATTCGAAGTTCAGGCTCGCAGAGGGCGGCCATCCATGGTCCTGAGGCCCAGCACTTGGTGGTGGGTTGTCCTGGGGCCCCGCAGGCGGCGGTGGGTAGTCCTGGAGCCCGGCCCGTGGTGGTTGGTAGTCCTGGGGCCTGGCAGGCGGTGGTGGGTAGGCCTGGCGCCCGGCACGTGGTGGTGGGTAGGCCTGTCGCCTGGCAGGCGGCGGTGGGCAGTCCTGGGGCCCAGCAGGCGGCGGTGGGTAGTCCAGGGGCCCGACACGAGGTGGTTGGTAGTCCTGGGGCCTGGCAGGTGGTGGTGGGTAGTGCTCGCGCCCGGCACGTGGTGGTGGGTAGTGCTGGCACCCGGCAGGCAATGGTGGGTAGTCCTGGGGCCCGGCAGGCAGTGGTGGGTAGTCCTGGAGCCTGGTAAGCGCTGGTGCATAGTGCTGGTACCCGGCACGTGGTGGTGGGTAGGCCTGGCACCCGGCAGGCAGCGGTGGGTAGTCCTGGCACCCGGCACATGGTGGTTGGTAGTCCTGGGGCCTGGCAGGCAATGGTGGGTAGTGCTGGCGCCTGGCACGTGGTGGTGGGTAGGCCTGGCGCCCGGCAGGCAATGGTGGGTAGTCCTGGGGCCCAGCAGGCGGTGGTGGGTAGTCCTGGGGCCTGGTAAGCGCTGGTGCATAGTGCTGGTACCCGGCACGTGGTGGTGGGTAGGCCTGGCACCGGCAGGCAGCGGTGGGTAGTCCTGGCACCCGGCACGTGGTGGTTGGTAGTCCTGGGGCCTGGCAGGCGATGGTGGGTAGTGCTGGCGCCCGGCACGTGGTGGTGGGTATTCCTGGGGCCCGGCAGGCTGCAGTGGGTTGTCCTGGGGCCCCGCAGTCCTCGGTGGATTGCTCTGGGGCCCGGCAGGTGGTGGTGGGTATTTCTGGGCCCGGCAGGTGGCGGTGTGTACTTCTGGGGCCCGGCAGGCGGCGGTGGGTACTCCTGGGGCCCGGCAGGTGGCAGTGGGTATTCCTGGGGCCCGGCAGGCAGCGGTGGGTTGTCCTCGGGCCCGGCAGGCATAGGTGGGTTGTTCTGGGGCCCGGCAAGTGGCGGTGGGTATTCCTGGGGCCCGGCAGGCAGCGGTGGGTTGTCCTGGGGCCCGGCAGTTCATGGTCGGTAGTCCTGGAGTCCAGCGGGTGGTGGTGGCATTCGTGGATCCGAAATGAAATACGCTCGGGCGCCGAGCGGGCCTGGAGGCCTGAATGGCACAGGTCCCGGCAAGAACTCGCTGGGATGTAGAGGCAGGTCGCGGCGTCCAGCAGCATGCCGGGCGCATAGTCTCTTAAGCCCAGTGGTGGGCCCATGCGTGCGACTGGAAAGCAAGAGGGACATGCGGACACGTCCTGAGGACAGCCCAGGTCTGCTGAAAGCGTTTCCCTTCCCCTGCGCCAGGAAGTCGAGTGATGCACTGGACATCACAGATAAGGAAAACTGAGGCTCAGTAAGGCTCCACCACAGCCTGACCCTCCCTTCTCCCACTGCCGGCGGCCTGTGGCGTCCCAGGTGACCACCTCGCTGAGACTGGCTTTCGCTCTGCCGAAAGGGCCCTTCTGGTCCAAGCAGCTGTGGAGGCTGCACTGGGCTCAGAGTGCTGGGCCTTGTGCTTCGAGTCAGGCGGGCTGCAGCTGCCAATCAGGACAGGTGAGGAGAGAGGACAGGGTAGGCGAGAGGACAGGGTAGGCGGTGGTACTGGCCCAAGTGTCCTACCGTATCGAAATGTGGCAGTGGCCTAGGAGACATCGGCCGAGGCCTGAAGGGCCTGCAGAGCAGTGGTGGCAGAGGCGACCCATAGCCCACGTGGGGCGGCATGGGGCCTCCCAGGAACCGGGGCCCTGGATGGGCTGGGGGCCCCTTCACGGCCATGCTCACCTGAGAACAGAAGCAGGCCCAGTTTCAAGCTCGGCAGTGACACCGGGTGCCCGTCCCGAGAGGAGTCAAGGGATCCCTGGACCCTGCCAGGCCCTCGTGAGCAGCACGCCACCCAGCGAGCATGGTCACCACTCTGTCCCCACTCGCGTGCAGAGAGGAGCTCCATAGGTGCCAGTAGGGTGCTTCCCCAGCTCGCTGTACTCTTGCCAGCATGAGTGTGGCCCTGGGCAGGACAGGGCGACACAAGGGCTCCCAGGGTCCCGGGGTAGCTGGGGGAACAGGAAGCTGCCTCGGCCAGTTGACACTGCACAGGGAGGGGCTGGCGGAGGCGCTTGTGCCTGGGATGCTTGGAAGGCAGTCCATCGAGCTCTGACCATTGCAGGCGGCCCCATGCGGTGTGAAGTCTGCCAAGGCAGCAGCCTCAGGACCCAGGAGGCACAGCAGCCTGGGCCGCCCGGGGTCGGATTCAGGGGGCCCTGGAACCGGCTTCCCACTCCCACAAGAGCCCACGCCCACCTCATCCCCATCATTGCAAGGGGTCTGCCTAGCACAGACCCTGAGGACCCCAACAGCTGCTCCCAAAAATCAAGGGCACGCGAGTGTGGCAATGCACACCGGTCATCCCGCACTCGGGAGGCCGAGGGGGGAGGACTGCTAGGGAACTGCAGGTGGGCTCTGGGTACTGTGAGGTCAAGTCCAGCTTGAGCTGCATAAGGAAACCCTGACTCAAAATAAGTACCAAACCAAACACTCAAGTCAGGGACATGAGGTGTGCTTTGCTCCAGCACTCAGCACGTGGCCCCGTCTTAGTGAAGGCCCCAGTCAGATGGTGACCTAGTCTGTGGGGTCGCCACGCCCAGGCCAGCTGGAAAACAGAGGGTAAACCTAGGGCCCAGGGAGCAGCAGGGGCCAAGGCACGGGCTCTAGGCTCACCTTGGCATTGTCCATGTTCTTCTCTGGGGAGGAGCCGTGGGAGCTGCTGTTGGCCACAGGGCCAGGGCCTGGATCTGGGGGCAGAGAAGGCACTCAGAGGACTTTCCCAGGACGAGTACGAGGATGAGGACAAGGACCGGAAGAAGCCACGGGCACGCCCTCGGAAGTGCCCTCAGGAACACTGCAGAGCCCCGAGGACTGTCCTGGAGGGAGCAGAGGCATGGCTGCCTCTGACAGGCAACTGCAAGGCCCATAGGAGGAAGGAGGCCAGGGAGCCCTCGAGTGGAGCCAGAGGTACCAGGCTCACAGAGCAGGCGTCAAGTGGGGGTGGGGAGGTCGAAGGAGGCCTCCGCCTGCGCGGGATCCACCTGCTCAGCACTTCTCGGAAATGGGGAGCTGGGAAAGCTGCGCTGTGGCAGAACAAGCTAAGAGCACAGCATGCGCCAGGCTCTAGCTGCCTGTGTGGGAGATGAGTGTACCCCGAGGGAAGCCAGGATTGTCCAGCAGAGCTGCTGGGAAAGCAATAGGCGGAGTCTACCCACCCCTTCCCCCACACTGTCTGGGAAGAGCTGTTCCTCTAGACTTAGGCCATGATAAGCACACAAGATAGGCCGAATGGGTGGACGGGAGCCTTGGCCCCAGCCAGAAAGCGAAATGTGGGCCCCAGAGGCCAGTGCTGCCCTCCCTCAACCCACACATGGAGGACAATGCCAAAGATGCTGAACTGAGCCCTCCACAAATCCCTAGGCTTTAAGAAACAAGCAGTGGAGCTGAGGCTACAGAGGCAGGGACGCTGAGCCAAACTGCTAGCTGGATGAGGTGACGGCGGACAGGCAGGAGCAGCCTCAGGTCGCCATCACAGGAAACCAGCAGCACCCTGGGCCCCAAGTTTCCTCTATGATCACTGCACATCGAAGCTGCTAGGCAATCAGAAGTGACAGGAATGGCCAGCATGAGACACTGGGCAAAATGTCTGGGACTCACTTCTGCAGCTCCAGCTCCTTCTGGTGGGACAGCTCCTTCAGGACCTCCACCTTCTGCTGCAGCATGCTAAACTCCTCCTCATCCGGGCCTTGTCTGCCTGCAGCCTGCCGAGGTCCTCACCTAGCTTCACGATCTGGTCTGGGAGGTGAGACACGTCACCAAGGGCACCGCCAAAGACACAGAACCAGGCTCCCAGCATCCCTGCCTCATTCATGCCTGCACTCAGCCTGACCACCATGCAGTCAGGGACCTACCTTCCAGATCACATCTGGCAGACAGGGAGGCTCTCAGCTTCGACTGCAGGAGTTGGAGATCTTTCTGAAATACGGATATTGCGGGACGTGTCTGAAAATTGTGAGGGAGGGGCACAGGCTTGAAAGTAAGGCTCAGTCAGGACTCAAGGGCCCCCGGGGGTCTCTGTGAAGGGACTCACCTGGGAGACATCCATCAGCTGGTGCATGTGAGCCTTCTTATTTTCCCCACCTACAAAGAGAACAAGTGTGGCTGTGTCTTCCTGTGCCGTTTCTAAAACTGTGGTCTTGACTTCCACAAAACTAAACTAATGCTCATGAAACACTGTAAAGAAAAACAATTCACCAACAGAACTGACACACTGACTTTCATGACAACTGCACCCTTAGAGTTTGTGAGCTCCTGCCAAGACAGCATGCCACATGGTCTAGGGGGAGCTGGCCGGCGTGGGTCCAGACTCGCACTCTGAGCACCCTCTGCAGCTGGGGTGGCACCCTGACCACTTTCCTCATCTCAGACCATGCTGCTCTCCAGCCTCTGCCCTCACAGCCTGGACTGTGGCTCCCCATCCCCACAAGTACCCCTAGGTGACCCTGGCCAAGTGCCTGAGAACCACAGAACAGCAGAGGCCGTGAGTACGGACCCGTGTGTCATCTCCAGAAAGCTGAGTGAGTTTCTTCTCTGGCACAGAGGCCGACACAAAGGCAAAGGCTCCAGCGTACACATCCAGTTTTCAAGGGGTGGAAAAGCAGCTTTCCCCGCTTGCCTGCTGCTACTGCACCCCAGTGACCCAGACATAAGTATGAATTACAGATGTTGGGAGCCATTGAAGCTGGAAACCGACCACACCTGCAGGGCCAGGGCATGGCTGGCCCAAGAACAAAGAGTCCTTGGGGTTGCCATGTGAAGAAGCTGCCTCAGCCCAGAGATCACCAAGCCCCAAGACAATCTCAACAGTGGGCTGCTAGGACAACAGGGTGTCACATGACATTAAGTTGGATCACTTCAAATGAATGTCATTTGCTACGAGAAAAAGAAACTTTAGGCTACACATCTACACTGCTGTCTCTCGAGCTCCTGTGCCGATAAACCTATAGGGGCCGAGGTGTCCCTAGCACAGACACACTGTCCTCTCTCCACACCTGTGTGACCCAGCCACGCTCTGTCTGCTCCAAGTAAGCAGTCACCCCTGCCCCCACATCTCCTAGCTCAGCCGGTACCATCACCCTCCCCACTATACCATGGTTAGTAGCAACAGTAAAATGTGGAGCAGTTAGTGAGTCAAATCAGACACCAAAGTCACTGTCGCTCCTAGCCTGCCTAAAAGTCCTCCCAAACACCAACAGGAAGAGATTTACCTTGGTATATTCTCTCCTTTACCTAGAAGAAAAAGAGAGAAATTTGATGTCAAACATTTGATTAAAAGGAATGCATAGTTCCTAACACAAGTCAGGATCATAACCAAGTGAAAATTTAGTAACTTTAGTTCAGAATAAACCCATACAATTAAAAATGTATTATAAGTAGCCTCTGATACAGAGGAAGAGTAAGGAGCGTGTCTTACTTCACAGCTACACACAGGCTTGTGTGCCAGGACCAAGTGAACACCAGGCTTCTGAGATGAGCATTTGGCTTCAACAGTGAAATGTTTGTTTTTATAATACACACATTATTGATTTACTTACTCAAAATTACTTGACAATCCCAAAGGCAAGCATGCAGTCTAGAAATGGGTGACCATATGGAAGACTGGCGAGCGAGATTACCAGCATAACCTTTGCACTAAGATACGCCTCTCTCACCCACTGGAAGATACCTCAGAAACCCTATTTCAAGTGATCTATTGACTCAATTAAGAAATAATCTAATACAGCTCATCATCTGATTTCCCCAGACCACAAAAACAGTAATAAATCTAAGCAGAAGGGAAGACACCAGAAGAACACAGAGAAATGACAGCTAAGGGCTTCCAGGAAGAGCACAGACCCAGTTCTTCCTCCCAGTGCCTTCTGGGGTCCTAAATCCTAAACTGTAACTAATTAAATACCACAGCAGCGGTCACTGCATTTCTCTGTAACGCAGACTGTCTTCTCCTTCCGAGTGCTATAAACAGTATAGGACAGCAGAGTGCAGTGGCCAGCTGAGGGGCGTGTGGGGGGGGACTGTCCTCTCCAGGATCAGGAGTGGGCCTCAGAGCCATGTGACCTCAGGGAGTGGGAGGCAGTGAGCCCAGGGGCAGGGTGTGAAGCTGCAGGGCTGAGCCTGAGAGCCCTGCTGGGTAGCAGCTGCAGGGAAACCAAAGGAGAGGAGCAGGGGAAACAGCACCTTTTCACCCCGAAACACTCTGCTAACCCTTCCAGGCGTGCTTTCATCCAAGAAGCTGTTCAGTGAGATTCCAGAAGTCCTCACAGGAATCTTTCATAGGGTGCTGTTTTGGGTTTGTTTTTTGGTGGTACCTGGGACAGGGCTTTCACACAGCCTTCCCATTTTTCTTGAGACAGGCTCTTGGTAAGTGACCAAGTTGCCCAGGCTGGGCTCAAACTTGCACTTCTCCTGTCTCAGCCTCCCTCTCCTCCAGGGCTGCAGGAATGCACACACCACTCTGCCTGATCTTGCCTGGACGTTTCTACCATCTTACTGTATTTCTTGCCCTGTATGTTTCTACACCACAGTTCATCACTACCTCATGGTCTGTTTCCCCTTTTCCCACTTCACATTAAATCGTGAGCACCTTCTTTGCCCCCTGCCTTTGAAATACATACAGCAGCCTAATATTCTGTTCTGTGGATATAAATAAGGTGAAACATGATATTCCCTAACATAGATCATTTAGGTTTCACCAAGTTATTACTCTATTACTACATCTAATACCTTTGTATAAAATCTTAACATGTAATTTATTTCTTTAAGATCACTTACTGATGTTATTATACCATATAAAAGCAATTTATATTTCTTATCCTGTTTTGTATCCCATTTTAAAGGCTTATGATATATAGAATTATTAAACTGCTTTTCAGGATGGCTGTACGAGTCACCAACTCTACTAACAAGTGGATATGGTTAGCTTGCTCTTAAGTGTTTGCCAGTACCAAGATTAAATTATTTCAGAAAACTAACTTGAATTATAACCACTGATTTGTTTATGTTAATAACTGAAAGAGCCAATGATAATAGAATCCTCAATATATTCAGAAGTCAAAGAACAAGTTAATTCACTCACTGGAAAAACATTCCTCCACAAGAAAATCGCAAGCATAAGGATTCCAACACAGGTAGTGAGCAATACAGGCTCCCAGGGGAGCCCATAAAAGTCTCCAGGCCCGGGCTGGAGATTCTCAGGTAACACTGCAACCAGCTGAAAAGGAAGGGCACAAATAACGGAAACCCGTTAACAGAACTGGCGGAGCAATCACAAAGGATCATCACAGACACTCTCGATCTACTCTCCATAGTCTAAACCAACTTCCAGGTGCCCTGTAGAAACTTCCGGAAAGGGGATACAGTCAGGCTCCCGTTCTTGTCCCGTATGTGGAGTCTCTAAACTTAGGGAGTGAGTTGAGCCTATTTCCCAGTTGGCCAACAGCCATTCTTCATCGCAGTGTCTCACGCATGGCCCAGATCACGCTTAGGTGAGCTGTTTTCTATCACTGCACACGCGTGCACGCACACACTCTCACACACACACACACACACACACACACACACACACACACCCCACATTGTAAATACATGATAGAAGCCATCGGTTTTTGCGACTGCAAACAAAAGCACTATGACAATGATCGCCACAAATCAGGCATCACTCCTCCAGGAGGCTGGGTCTCAATTCGCTGCACTCTCAGGAAACAATCCTTGCAAGGAAACAGGTGGGGCGTGAACGTGGCTCCCAAGGCGATGGCTGGCTTCAGACCATGCGGCTCCCTCAGGACAGCCGGCCCTCTGCAGTCCACACCACGCTCCTGCCCATCAGGTACAGCTCTTCCGAAGGGACCGTCCCACCGGCAGGCGACCAGCGCCCCTTGCCCAACCCTGGTTCCCCCGCCTCACCTTCAGTAGCAGGTCGACAAAGGCCGAGTACAGCTTCGACAGGGGCTTCAGCAGCTCGGGGGTGCCCGGGGACACGAAGACCCCGGCTACAGTGGCTGATACATTGTCCATAGCGAAGGACCGCTCACTGCGGACCCGGCCGGACCGGGCAGGACCGGGCAGGACCGGGCAGGACCTGGCCCGACTGGGCCGGACCCGGCAGTGGCAAAGAAGTCTTTCCCAGTGGCAGTGGCAGCAGAGGGCGGAACTGCACAGCTACACCTTCGGCTTCCTGCTGCTCTATGAACCATAAACATAGGTAACAGAGGGTCTCCAGGACGACCACAAAGGGGCAGGGCTTCACAGAGGGGGCGGGGCCAAAGCTGGATACCGCGCGGGGGTGGGGCAGGAGCGTCCAATGAAGGAGGCCGGCGGGTGGAGCGCCCAATGAGGGCGACCGGGGGCGGGGTTCCGTGGCAGCAGAGCAAGGCTGGCCAGTAGCCGCGCTAGGGCACCAAGCTCAAGCGCCTTCACCGCTGGACCTGCGCACCAGGCCTTGCAAGTGCCGCTACATGGCTGCTGGCCTGGCTGGCACCTTCACCCGGGTGGGGCAGGGCCACGCGTCAAAGTTCAGGGATACTTAGTACTGTACTCTCTAATGCATTTGAGAGAAGACACTTATAGGAGAGCTTGCTAAGGCTATCACTTAAGGTGATGACTGGATATTTCTACAATAATTTTTTAAATGTTTTAGGAAATTTTAAATCAATATTTAAGAGATGACTGCAAAGACAAATTATAAAACTGCATATCAAGTTGATAATGTCAACTGTATAGAGAAAAAGCATCATGTCAAGTTCCCAGTATGCTAAGAGATTTCTGGAATGATAAGGCCAACTCCACCTGGGCCATGACTAAGCTTCTCTGAAGAGGAGTGAAACCTCTACCCTTTCTAGTTACATCTGCTTGCCTGAGTGCCAAAACAGCACTGCCTTATAATGACGGTAGTGTCAATATCACCACCCAAATGCTGTGATGGTTAACTGTACTAAGCAGAGTGCTAAACCCATCAATCAGATAAGTACAATAGACCACATACCTGATCTGTATCCTTCAAAAATGCACATGTTAAAATCCTAACTCCCCAGATGATGGTATTAGGAGGTGGGCCTTTGGGGTTGGGTGGGTAACTAGGTCACGAGAATGAGCCCTTCATGAATGGAACTAGTGCCATTATTTATAACCCCAGAGAGCTCGCTTGCCCTCTTTCTGCCACTTGAGGCCACGCAGAGAAATAAGTAATCTGCAGCTCAGAAGAGTCCACTCCCCAGAACTTGACCCTGCCACATGCTAATCTCAGATTTCCAACCTCCATAACTGTGAGCAGTATATCTCTGTTATTTATGAGCCTTTCAGGATATGTACTTTGTTATAACAGCCAGAGTGGACTAAGGTCAGTAAGTATCATTAGCCCATGTTACGCTTTAGGAAAAAGCCTAGTTCAAGAATAAGATCAAGGTCACCACTGAAATAAGAAATCCTACCTTTAGAGGTCTGACAGAACAAGAAGCTCAAACTAGGCGTGTGATCTAAAGCCCAGTGCCACCTTTGTCATGTGGATGTAACAGGTGAAGGTAATAAAGGCCAAGCAATTATTATCAACCTTACATTAAGAATGGTCAGTCATGGAATTCAAAGACTACAACAATGCCATGCTCTAGGCCACATGTATCTTCACTTGAAAAACACAGAAAACGAGAGTTGAAGAGTTTAAATTTTCCAAGGGTGCCCAGGAGAGAAACTTGAATCCATCTCTGTCTGCTGTGCTGCCTCCATTCAGAATCATTATGAGTTCCATCACCAAGGGAAGGCTAGCCATCAAGCTTTTCAAATCTGTGCCCCTGTGCTTTTGTTCAGCATCTGGAAAAAGCAGGGCCAAATTCTGTATGCAGTGATCTAAAGGTGGCCAGACCTTTAGAGGAGGTGTATTTTGAAGATCCTCAACTCACATAGCTGCTTTGACTTTCTCCTCTAGTGACTCTGCACTTGCTAAGGCAGCTGGGAGCCAGGTTACCTTTCTAGCCCATGCATAGTTTCCCTGTTGAGGCTGGGAGGACTTTGCAAAGGGAGCAAGATTCTGTTGCACTTCAGCTCTCCTTAATAGAGAAGACTAACATATTACCAAAGAACTTCTTGGGCTTAAACAGTTTTTAGACACAAGAAATAGAAAAAATATGGAAATCCATTTTACTTTCCTTATGTGATAATGCTAAAGTACGTTTATTATTTTGATATTTGGAACTTAGAGTGGTATCTTTTACATAAAACAATATCATATTGACTAGTTCAATTCCCATTCTATTCCACATAAGCTACTAAACCCTACAGCATAGTTAAAAACAATGTCATTTCAATAAAGTACACAGGACAAATACTTACCATAATACTTACATTTGTTTTTTTCTTTTTAAAATAGAAGTAAAATGTAAGAAAGCCTATATTTATTAAAGTATGTATGGTATAAACACTCCTGCCATTGGAAAATTCAAGCTAAATGGTTTAATAACTGGCCACTTCTAGATTTAATGCTCAGCATTGATGACATGGTACAAGCCAGCTCTAACTCACCACTGAACAGTGCAACTTACTGTGTATCTGCTCAGATAATTGCCAACCAAACTCACATCACACAGCTTACCCGGGCCTGTTCTATGAGTGGGACATTTTGCTATTTCAGTGGTTATTTATTGGAGCCTGGATGCATATCCATCAAATTCAGTAAAAGAGTTGATGCATTCAAGCTTCCAGAAATTGGAAACCAGAGAACCTTTCCATGAGTTTAAATTTAAGTTCAAGAATTGTCACAAAGCTGTTTTCTTGGAACTCTATTACATTTTCTTATGACTTGAATACATTTTTGAAAAGTAAAATAAAAAAGTCACCAGCAATTTCTGGAATAGTTTAAAACCTTAAGACTGGTTATATTCTTAGTACATCATGAATGCATTGTCAAAGGGGATAAGGGACTGAAATGTGAAGACGGAGAGAAACAGCTTCTCTGAGATTTGGTGCCCAGACACTGGAATATGGCAATGTGAGGAAGAGGAGGAGCGAAGTGGATTCCCAAGCCCAAGCAAGGATCTAAAGTGAGAACTGAGGTCCATAGGAAGAGGAGGGAAGAAGAAGAAGAAGAAGAAGAAGAAGAAGAAGAAGAAGAAGAAGAAGAAGAAGAAGAAGAAGAAGAAGAAGAAGAAGAAGAAGAAGAAGAAAGGGAGGGAGGGAGGGAGGGAGAGAGAGAGAGAGAGAATCTCAAAGTAGAAGAAGTAAGTGGCAAGTGGCATCTTCTCCCTGAGCTCTGACTGGCAGCATGGGAGGGGTGCTCAAACCTGCAGATGCACTGTGACTACTGTGACCCCAGAGACCTCCACAGAGAAATGCACCAGTGGAACTGATTGTAGATGCAGTGGGCAGCAGTGACTGATGAGTGACTTGGGTTCAGACATCCTGTGGAAGAGGCTGATTGACCTGTAGCCATCTTAGGGAGGGATCAACTAAGCTCAGAACTCAGCCCAACTGCTAGCTGGCTCCATCTCAGGGCTCCTATGTCAGGAGCCAACTGAGTCCAAGTCAGCAGGAGGCAGAGTGCTGCAGGCTGAACAGATGGGGTTCCAGCCTCACAGCCAGAAGCCAGCCTGAATTTAAGTGAAACTAAGGCACAGGCTTGCTGGAATTACCCACTACCCTGCCATGTATCTATGACTGGCTTGCTGAAATTAAGCAACACAGTGCTGGGCTCTGTTTGCGCACTTTGTCTACCAATGACAGCTGAAACATGCCCTGAAGTGGACATTTTAAAAATTATTATCCTTTAAATTTTTTGTATTTTTATTGTTCTTTTTATATGGTGTGAACATTCTGTCATATTCTTGTTTTCTTTCTTCATCCTCTCTTTCCCCTCTGTCTTTTTCACCAGTTTCTCAAAGTTCATGTAATCTTCCTTTGTTCTCCAGGCTTGCTTTTAAACTCGTCCTTTTCTTCTATTTCTTTTTCTCTCTCTCTTTTACATTTTTTCCCCTAAGGGTAAAACTGTCACTTTGAAGATATATTCACTGTATACAATTGTCTGCTTTGTTCTAGATTTTGTTTTATAACCACAAATCTACTTTATATGCTTAAAGGTGGCAAATTAATAGCAACCACAGTTTGTCATTTTCTAATCTGGTTTGACACTATAGTTATTACTGATAGTACTATTTTAGCCAAGGTGACATAATTTTTCTAATCAGTTGTTCTTCCTGATATTCCAAAACTGAGATTGCTTGAGGCTTATTAACAATGGTATAGGCCAATGCCAAAGCACCAGGAGCAAGGCCACATAGGTAGCAACTTCCCATCCCCAATAAATTGAAGAGGCAAGATCTTGCGACAGACTCAAAACTCAAAAGTCAGCTACAACTAGAAGATATCTCTGAGAAACTGTCATTTCTTAAGGGTTCTCAATAATAGCAATAAAGCTACCTGCCATAAGCAATTTATAAGAATCAACCCAGGAATTTTAAAAAATAGAAAATGAGAAGACATGGAAGCAAGATGCGACTCTAGACTTCTAGCTCACCCAAGGCAAACCTGTGGACAGTGAGGTAGAACAATTCAAAACCACCCACTGGACTCGGTGAAGTAGTAACAGCAGAAGTAGCAAAGGCAATAAGTGAGGCTGTAGAAAACTGTGAAGATTCCAGGAAGAGAAAAATCAAATAGCACCTTCCCTGATCCTGCCTGTATGTGGGCTGAGAATCAACACCCCACCCCCACCACCACACACATACCTTGCCCATAAGCAACAGGCTGGTTCAGAGGACAGGCTGAGTTGATAGCAATTAAAGTACAAAAGCAGCTAAATGCTTATATTGTTTGGTTGATTTTGCAGGCCTGGGGCCAGCAGTCTGAATATCTATTGGGAGGATGACAGTATGCAATATAGCAAATATGGGGCATTTCCTTCTGTCTTGCCTTTGAAAGCCAGTATTGTTTTGTTTTGATTAATTGTTTTGCTTTATTCAACATTCTGTTTTGATTGGTTTTATTCTGTTTTGTTTTGGTTTGATGTCACTATACCTGATGGAATGGACAACTATTGTGAAGATAACAAGTTATGCTACTGTTGTTTTCCTAGTATCCTGCTTTGAAGTTTTGTACCAGTTTACTGCTTTGTTTTGGTTGGTCTTGTTGGCCTTGTTCTGTTTTGTGTTATTGAATTTTATTATCTTTAAAATAATGATGGAAATCATAAATACCCAACATAGAAAGAAATAGATTACATGAAATAGATTCAAGCAGCTATCCAGGAGATTAAAAATTCTCTTTAAAGTATATGCAGCATGAGCCATTGTTAGGACAGAATAGCATATATATAATACAGTAGTGTGGTTAGCAGTCACAAAAAGAAAAGATTTCGTAAAAATACCAATGGTCCACAAAAAATCAATCCAACAGTTGCTAACATCAAAGAAAAATAACTAAAAATGATCAGCCAATTAAAAAGAGGAGATAGTGCAAACATAAAAAAACCTGTTCAGAGAAGTAATGGCAAAAAACTTTCCAAGCATGTAAAAAGAATTTGATATACAAGTAAGTAAGGCATATAAACTTCCAATTAGCCATAATAAAAAAATCTATATCAAGGCATATATTAGTCAAAGTTCCAGAAATTCAACACAAGAACAGCATGTTAAAAGCTGTTAGAGAAAATAAACAAATCACCTATAAAGGAAAACCTATCAGAATCACAGAAGAATTCTCAACATAAATCCTGAAATCAAGTAGAGTTTAGAGTGAAGTATGTCAAGCCCCAAAAGAAAACAATCTCTAACCTAGATTGACATACAACACAAAACTATCTTGCAAAATTGATGGAGAAATGAAATCCTTCCATGATAAAAGTACCTAAAGAACTTTATGATGACCAGCCAACTACTATATAATGTTCTGAAGGACATTCTAGAGAGTGATAACAAGGACTACAACTCCAAGAACTCCAACAGAATGAATCCACCAGCCAAGTCAAGTAATAAAAACAGAGGGGTAAAAAAAGGAAACCAACAACAGAAAAATAAAAGGATAAGGATAAGTCCATACATATCAGTTTTAACCACCAATGTAAATGGTCTCAGTTTACCAATCAAAAGAAACAAACTGACAGAATGGATCAAGAAGCAAGATCCAACAATATCTTACATACAAGAAACATTTAATTAAAAATTAACTTCATAGACTGAAAGTTAAAGGATGCAAAGCAATACTTAACACAAGAGGAAACTGAAAAAAAGCAAGGGTAGCTATTTTATTTGCAGACAAAGTGGATTTCAAGTCAAGACTGATTAAAAAAGACAAAAAAGGTCACTATATCCTTGATAAGGGAACAATCCAAAAGAAAGAGATAACAATCATAAATATATATGCAAATACTAGTGCACCCAACTATATAAAACAAATATTAACAGACATGAAAAATCAAAAAGCACTAATACAATTATAATGGGGGGGCCTCAATAACCCACTGTCACCAAAAGATCAATTAGACAAAAAACTTCAATAAAAATGTCAGTACTGAACAGAACTTTTCAACAAATGGGCTTAGTAGATATCCACAGTGTTCCAACACACAGCATCAGAATATGTATTCTTCTTAACTGTATATGGGGTATTCTCCAAAACAGACCACATACTAACTCATAGAACATGTTTAAGTAAATGCAAAAGAACTGAAACAATCCCATATATATTATCAGACCAAAAGCAATGCAACTGGAAATCAATGGCAAAATAAACCACAAAACTCCATAAACACATGAAAATTAAATAATACCCTCCTGAACAACTAATGAATCACAGAAGAAGTTAAAGAAGAAATTAGCCCCTTCAATTAAACAATGATGGTAATACAACCTTCTAGAGCTCATGGTACTAATGAAAGCAGCCCTATGAGGGAAATTTACAGTTGTGAATTCCCAAAGCTCATATGTGGGAGGAAATCATAAAGATTAGAGCAGAAATTAATGCAATGGAGACTAGGAAAATAATACAAAGAATCAATGAATCAGAGTTGGTTCTTCAAAAGATTAAATAAAATGGACAAACCTCAGCTAACTTTATCAAAAAAGAAGACTCAAATCCATGAAATTAGGAATAAAAAGGGTGAAATCACAAGTCTTGCAGAAGTCCAGAAGACCATGAATACCTACTTCAAGAACATATATTCTAATAAGATATAAACCATAAGAAAAATGGGCAGATTTATAGATACATATGAATTACCAAAGATGCATCAAGAAGACATAAACATTTTAAATAAACTAATATAAATAAGTGAAATTGAAGATACAAATAAAATCTACAAAGAAAAGCCCAGGTCCTAACAAATTCACTGTTGAATTCTGTAAGAAATTTAGAGAAGACCTAATGTTGCTACTTTGTAAACTTTTTAAATGGGTAGAAATAACACATACTTTCAAAAAACATGTGAAAAATAAAGAGCAAGAAATCACCAGTTGATGATTACATATTGTCCTCTTACAAATAGTTGTTCAAGATACAAAACTGTGAAACATAAAGTGGGGATTCAAACAGCGAGACAGCAAACAGTTCTGTTCAACTATCCAACAAAAACCTAGCAATATGGTTATCAATCCTACACACTTAAACATACATGCAGTTATCCATATCTTCATTTCTGTTGAGATTAAACAAGCCAAAGCAGGCTAAAATCACTTAAACAAAGAAAAAAGTATTGCTGGATTTCACATCATGACACTACAGGATCAGCACTGGATATTATAGTGTCTCTTTTTCTTCACAATATTTGTTCATTTCATCATGCATTAGAAGATCAGTTCTCATAAGCCATTTATAGGTTCTACGCATGCGTGTGTCTTAACATGTATTTCTATCCTTTCTGTATTAGAGAAACAAAACAAAGCAAGACAAAACAAAACATATTCCTATAAACCCATGACATGAAAAAGACATATAAACCACACACAAGGAGTTCCACAGTGATTACTGTGTTGTCTCTTGTTATCTTCAATAGAATTATCTACATCATCAGACATAGTATAATTGAATTTTGCAATACATAACAATAGTAATAAAAACAGAGCTTTATAGATAGTGTAAAACTTGGGTAATAATCAAACCAGAATGGGTATTGTAGTGAATCTTGTCATGTTCAGTTTAGTTGCCTATAGATTTGATACTATCAATCATAACAGGTTTTGAATAAAATCTGTTGATACTAAACAGCAATCAAACAAACCAGATTTAACTAAGATCAGTCATGATAAAACAGTATAAGTTATACAGGACTCCAGATTAAGTTATTAGGAAATTAAAGATGATTACTGTACTATATCATGTTATTTTGGGGATAGCTGTCTGTGCCCTCAGATCTAGTGCAAGTAGACAAACTGGGACAGAATAAAATTTATCTAAGCAGAGTGGTGTGAGTAATGTGGGTTTTAAATCCTGATGCACTATTATCAATATCCTCTGTCATCTTTTTAAAGGCGATTCCTCCACATTCACTCCCCCAGGGTGCACTGTGCATTTCTGGGTCTCACCAACACCCTCAGTTTTTAATTTTTTTGGGGGGGAGCAACCTGCTATTTTCCTAAGTGGTTCCAAACCTCCTCCATCCTGGACTTGATCTCTGGTTGTATTCCTGTACCTATTAAAGGCTGTCTTTCCAACCTATCTACAAATACTGGTTGAGTTGCCCCTATTACTCTCTGGTTCCCTGTCACATACAGCATTGTTTTCTCATATTTGATTTTCAGTCTATAAGACCATTTTTAGGTTAATTATATTTCCTATAAAGAATATCTTGGTGGACCCTACCTCCTGATCTACTCTGCCTGTGTTTCTCTCTCTCTCTTTTTTTTTAGAGTATCAAGGCCATCTATACTAGATATTATAGCCAACCTTCTCTGCCTCATTTCTGTTGTGCTCTTTTTCTGCCATTAGTTGTCTGCTTTTCTTCTTCATTCCACTTTCTGCTCCAATTCATTGAGGCCTCTCTGCCACTGTTCCTGGAATCCTGGTACTCTGTCTCTAGAATGTCCTGCAGTATTCTCTGTAGAGTTGGATTGGTGGCTGTGAATTCCTCCAGTTCCTGTTTGTCTTGGGGGCATCTTGTTTCTCCATTAATTTCTAGAGACAGTTTTACAGTTATATCAATCTGGGCTGGAGATTATTTTCTTTCAGGGCCTGGAATACTTCTCTCCAAGCTCTTCTTGATTTGATGGTCTGTGTTGAGAAGCCTACCATGATTTTAATGGGTTTTCCTTTATAGGTGATCTATTTCTTTTCTCTGATGGCTTTTAATATTCTGTTCTTATATTGTATTTCTGAGATCTTGATTATTATATGTCTGAGCATGGCTCTATTTTGGTTGTAGATGGCTGGAGTTCTGTATGCTTCATACATCTGAATATTAAATCCCTTTCCTATGCTTGGGAAGTTTTCCTTAATTATTTCTGTGAATAGACTTTGTAGTTCCTTTGTTTGTACCCCTGCTTCTTCATTCATATTCTTTATTCTTAAGTTATAGATCCCTCTTGTTATCTTCTAGCTTTTGTATTGTTACTGCCTGTTTCCTTGTTATTTTTAATAGATTTTTCCTTTCATGATCATACATTGCAAGCCTGTCTTCCAGTTTGGATAATCTATCCTTAGTTGCTTTCAAGCAGTTTTGCCAGCTTTCAATAGAATTTTTTATTTTCTGGTAATCTCTTTGAACCTGCTTCACGTATTCTATACTGTTTTATATTCTTCATCAAATGTTTTTCTCCTTTTTTGTGTTCCTCCATTCTTTTGTCTGTGTCTTCTTGAGAGGTGCTTAGTATTTCTTTTATTAATCTACTTATATCTTGCTTTACATGGTTAAATATTTCACTTTTGAACTTGTCTATAAGGTCCCAAAGATATCTCTTTATGCTCACTGATGCCATGTCTGGTATTGCATGTTTGCTGTCCTCAATCTCTTTTGTATTTGCCTCTCCTAGATCAATGTTCTCAGGGTTGGGGGCTGGGGACTTTTTCTTGTTGCTTCCTCTTGTCATGTTTTTTTGGTTTCTTCCATAGAGGTGTATAGAGGAGGTCCCAGTCTCTTTCCTTGTTGCTTATGGTTCTTCCGAAGCACACTGGCTAGGTATTTCAGCCCACTTCAGTGTGTTATTGAGGTGCAAACAGGGGCAGTGTATGCTGGCTCCTCTCCTCTGGGTCAGTCAACCTGCTGAGGCCTTCAGTGCATTAGTGTGCACCATATGTAGGGAATTGGTTTGGGACAATTTATTGGGTCTCAACCAGGGGTGTGACCCAGGCCAAGCAAACCCCACCAGTCCTGTCTGGGAAGGCAACAACTGCCTGAAGTCACTGCTTTTCCTTGTTCTTGCCAGTCCTGGCCAATTCCAAAATGTTGTCCCATTGGTGCCCCTTTCCTGTAGAAGGGTTTTATTCCCAGCACTCACCAAAGGTCATTGCAGGTCCCTTGCTGTCTCTGTACTTTGTTGGGCTCACTGACCTTTGACTTCAGTGCAATTGCATTTCTTTCTTTCTTTCTTTTTTTGTCTTTTTCCTTTTCATCGGTCCTGGGGATCGAACGCACAACTGCCTGCTTGCAAGGCAGGAGCTAATGCTGCTGAGCTAAATCCCCAGCCCAGTGCAACTGCATTTCAGTGCGACTGTGGTTCTAGTAAGTCGAAGTGGCGGGAATTTGGGTGTGCGAGAGCACGGGATCTTAGCTGCCTCAATAGTAGCCCCAGGACTGCATGTTTGACTGAGTCTTTTCATTTTAGTTTCTTCCTGGGTTGAGAGGATCCATCTCCCTCTGTCCGGGACTCCCCACAGTGTTGTATTTTGTCATCTGAGTTGCCTATTTCAGGAAGCCTCTGTATTTTGCTCTTATCTATCCACCATCTTTACCAGACGCCAACTTGGCCCTTCTTCACTTTTCAAACTGTTTAATGAAATTCAAAGGGAAGCCATACTCCCAAATTCATTCCTGGAAGCAAGAATTACCCTGATATCAAAACCAGAGAAGGATCCAACCAAAAAAGAGAACTACACACCAATCTCCCTATTGAATATACATGCAACAATCCTCAGTAAGATACTAGTATACAATGCAACAAGTCATCAAAAAGGGTATACACTGTAACCAACTAGGGATTATCCCAGGGATGCAGGGATAGTTCAACATATATAAATCAATAAATGTAATACACCATATTAAAAGATCCAAGGACAAAAACTATATGATCAAAAACTATTGATGTAGAGAAAGTATTTTACAATGTCCAACACTCATTCATGATAAAAGTCCTACAAAAAAGTGGAATAGATTATCTTTATCTAAATCTGATGAAAGCCATATATAAGAAACCAGTGGCCAATATCATACTAAATGGACAAAAATTGAAAGCTTTCACTTTAAAAATCAGGAACAAGACAACCATGTTCACTATTATCAGTCTTACTCAATATAGCTCTGGAAACACTGCCCAGAACAATTAGACAAGAGAAAGAAATAAAAGGAATAAGGATAGGAAAGGGGAAAATTAAATTGTTACCATTTGCAGAGACCCCCAAAACTCCACCAAAAGACTTCTAGATTTAAAAATCAAATTCAGTAAGGTAGCTGGATACAAAGTCAACACTCAAAAATTAGTACCCTTCCTGTACACAAATAACAAACTCACTGATAAAGAAATTAGGCAAATAACACTTTCACATAGCATCCAAAAAATTAAATACTTTTGAATCAATTTTACAAAGTAGGTAAAAACTTTACTTTGAAAACTATAACACTCTGATAAAAATATATCAGAAAATGGAAAGGTACTCCTTGTTTTTGGATAGGAAGAACCAATATAGTAAAAATAATACACTTTCAAAATTGTAATAGAGATTTAATGCAATCCCAATCAAAATACCAACAGCAAATCTCAAGGAATTAGAGAAATTAATCTGGAATCAGAAGCAATTATGGGCAACAAAAGGCAATTCATGGGTAACACAATCCCTGACTTGAAATTATACCATGAAACTACTGTGATAAAAAATAGTATTGTTAAACACAGACACACACACACACACACACACACACACACACACACACACACACACTAAAACAAAACATAACCAAAGAAACAGACTTGAGGTTCAGTGGAACAGATTAGAAGGTGCAGAAACAACTGCAAACATGAGATGCAAACACATTCAGAGTCACCTTGTGTTTGAACAAGGAGCCAAACACCTTCACTGGAAGAAAGATAGTCTCTAATAAATGGTGATAGAAAAACTGACTTTCTGCATGCCAAAGATTAAAACTAAACCCATATATTTCTTCATGCACTGGACCAAAATCAAAATGGATCAAAAATGTAAATATTAAAGCAGAAAAACTAAATATGCTGGAAGATAGAATAGACAGAACTCATGAAAACAGTGATACAAGAAAAGGCTTTATGAACAAAACCCTGATCACACAGGAACTATCACAAAAAATCAACAACTGGAATCTCATTATATTAAAAAGCTTTTTGCACAACAAAGAGAACCACTAACAAAATGAAAAGACAATTCGAAGCAAGAAAATTCTTTTACCAGCTGTTCTTCGAACAAAGAACTAATATCTAGAATACATAAAGAACTCGAAATAAAAATCAGACTTCCCAAATTCAAAGACTCAATCCGAAATAAGCATCTGAAACAAAGACACATCTCAGATAAAGAAGTAGAAATAGACAATAAATACATGAAAAAAATGTTCAACATCACTGATCATTCGAGAGATGCAAATTAAAATAACACTGAGATTCCATTTTACTCCAGAGAACATGGCTATTATCAAGAAACCAACCAAAGCATAGCTATTACCAAGAAACTAAACGTACCAAAAGTGCTGGCAGAAATGTGCAGAAAAAGAAACCCTTCTTCACTGTTAGTCGGAGTGTAGACTGGTGCAACCACTGTGGAAATCACTGTAGTGACTCCTCAAAAAACTAAAACTAGAGGTTCCATTCAACCCAGCTATTTCCCTTTCTATTTCCCTGTATTGTTCTTAAAAAAGTAAAAGCATCATACCACAGTGATATGTGTACACGTTTATAGTGGCCAGTTTGAGACAGCCCAAATTCCCATCAACTGATGAATGGGTAAAGAAGACACAGTTTTCTATACAACAGAATACCACTCTGTCAAAAAGAAGCATAAGCTTGAGACATCTCTAGATAAGTAGATGTACTTTGAGATCATACTTTTAAGTGAAATAAATCAGAAACATGTTTATATACTTCATTTTTTCCTCTGGTATGAGAAACCAAAAGTGTAAACAAGGATCAACATGTGTAATAGATATTGAGAAATAGGAAGAAAATGTTCCTACAGGAAGAACAGGGAAGGAGGGAGGGACATAGGGAGAAAGGGACAAAAAAAGAAATAGGAGGAAAAAATGGAAACAAAGTTTTTGTAAACAAGGAGAGAAAGAGAGGTTGAAGGGAGAGGAGGCAGGGAGAGGATGAGAAAAAAGAAGCAGCAAGATATATCCTGTACTGGTACAAATTCCTTGTGATGAATGTTAGCATCATGTATATCAGAAATGTACTAATAAATTTTTTTAAAAAGACCTCAAACAGTCAAATTTCTAAATAGAAAAAAAAGACAGAAAACAAAGAGAAGTTGAAGCATGCCTGCTCTCTGATCTCCTGTCCACATGTCCTTGAGTAGGGCTCTCTGGACACAAAGTACTAGAAGGTACAGAAAGGCTTTACGGTGGACTCCCTTGTGAGCCGTGGTGCAGAAGAGACGCGCACTGAGAGAGAGAAGGAGCAGCCAGTACAAATGCAAATGTCATTGGAGCATAGTCTGAGGCTCTCCAGGGAAGGCTTCTGCCTACACCGTCACCATGATCTGATCCAGAGTCTTCCGTCTGAGGTCAGGCACTGTGGCCCCTTTGCTGGGGTACCCCACGGGGAGCAGCACCAGCAGCTTTTCATGTGGGGGACGGTCCAGAAGCACCCGCAGACGAGGGCCACAGTTGAGGGGAGTAGTAGTGACGGTCACTAGCCCTGCATTCTAAAATGAGAGAGGGAAAGGATGCATATTAAAGTTAGAGGCCAATCCCAGCTCTGCCTTCAGCCCAGGGACATTCTCACCCTACTTTGATGCCATCCTGCTCATCCCATTATTTCCCTGAAGTTGAGGAATCCAACCACAGCAAAGGACATAGAACAGTTGGGAGTTCCCCTTATCCAAGAGATGAGGCTTTATCTGGAGCATGATCTAAGTGTTCCAGCCCTAATTGACTGCACTTTTCCTACTAAACACCCTTTGGTGGACTCATTATCTGACAACGGTTTGTTATCAATGTCTGTAATATTAATATCTTACTCAGAAATGTTGAAGGCACCAGAGAGACATAATATGGTCTCTTCTGAAGGTCTCTCCTGTGCATCACTGTATACTCTGATTCATCAAAAGTCTGTGCAGCCGGAGGGACTGTTCTCAGTGACATGTGCACTTGGAATAAGCTGTCGACTTCCTGTTTCACTGTGAGCTTGGACTGCCTCATTACGTTACTTCTCTCCCTTTATTATATCTTAACATATTACTTGCATTTAGAATGGCTGAGTCTCAAGATTTTCAATAAGAAAGTGTTTAATGTGATATCATTTCACATATTAGGTGTCTTTTAAAACATAGCATTTACTCCATACTGAATTTTGAATATCTTTGGCAGTAGAAATCTGTGACTAAATATGTTAAGCAATTCTGCTTGTTACTATAAAGCTGATTTCTGTTAGTATTTTATCTTCCATTTTCTCTTGATGTGAGTACTTTGGTCTTATTGGAAATCAAGCATTGTGTTTTTTAAAACCTCAAATCTTTAGATCCCCAAAGGGCTAAGGATTGAATTCAGCAAGTTTGTGAACTTTAAAACATAAATGCAGCTTTATATTCACTAACTTCTAACTGAAATTTAGAATTTCGTCAATTATAAACATAGACAACAAATCACAGCAGTGTTAAGTGTCTATGATTGGTCACAAATAAAATTCACAGATATGTTCATATATCACTTTATAATTGTTAACTTTAAAATGTCATTATACTCCTTACTTTAAAATTGTAGGCTGACAAGTAGGTCTTGATATTAAATGTATCAATAAAGATTTCCAGCTGGGTATTGTGGCCCATGCCTGTAATCCCAGCACTCAGGAGGCTGAGGCAGGAGGATTGTTGTGAGTTCGAGACCAGTCTAGGCTACAAAGTGAGCTCAAGGTCAGCTGAACTGTATATCAAGATTCTGTCTCAAAAAACCACACACACACACACACACACACATACACAAATATTTTTATATTTTATATTTTACTCTAAACAATGGCAAGCATAGAGAATGTCTGTGACTAAGAACCAACAATGGAAGGAGTGAATCACTCCTAGGGAAGTCATGAGGTCCAATGCAAGGGTAACCAGTGGTCAAAGGAAACACGGGGTAGAGAAACTACCTCAGGTCTGTCCTCAAGTCTCCATAGAGTAAACATCTAAATAAAGCTAATGCATAGTTTTTAAAGAACTTCTTCAGTTGCCTCCCGCACCACCCATGTTTTCCCAATCAGAAGACACCCCTAGCCTAGGCCAGGAAGTCAGGAGCTGCCCCCATGTATCATCCTGTGTGACAGAGTTCCTGGTCCTTCCGAATGTCCTCTCTCCTCGTTAACACTGATCACTCTCAGAATTATACCTAATGGGCTGGGTTCAGTGACACATGCCTGTATTCTCTGCACTCAGGAGACTGAGCTCCAGGCCAGCCTGGCCTACACAGTGAGTTCAAAACCAGGTCCTGTCTCAAGACAGAGCAGGGCAGCATGGAACAGGACAAAACAGAACAGAACAGAACACAAAGCAACAAAACAGAATACAACAGGAAAGAACAACACAAAAAAACGCTAGAGGGCAGCATACTCCACAGTACTGTATAGTAGCAGAGGCTGGATTTCTGAGGCCAGAGCAAGGTGAACTGAGCTCATATCAGGCTAGCACTGCTTCTTGCTGTGGTCTGAAGGCTGCGTGGGGATCCCTTTATTTGTCTGCTATAGATTTAGAAGGGAAGACAAATGCCAGTTTCTTCAAGGCAATTTTTCAAGTGATCTGAAAAATGCATTTTTCCTTTTGTGCAACCACAACCAAATTTTTCACTGAGGTAATGTAGAAGGGTATGTGTAAATTGTTCCTTGAAAGTAGGATCATCCTCTCTTACAGTCTTTTTTGATTTTTTTATTGAATGCATTCACTGTTTCTCTCTACCCCCTATCTAGACCCCAGACCCCATCAGAATGTACAGTTCATGAGACAGCCACCCTCCGTGCCTTCCAGGAATGTCACTTGCAAAAGGCTCAAGAAGTATTTGTGGTGTTAATGAGCTGAATGGCTTGAAAGGCATAGCACAGTTCTATTCCACTTCCTGTTCGCACTGCACTGGCTACTAGGTAGGTGGGAGGCTTTGCAAGCACATGTTTGTCTCGATTGCCATGCAAACCCAGCATCACAGGAAAGGCACTCTGCGACAGAGTCCTCCCTCCAGCTTTTCAGTCCATCCATCAGCTCAGATAGCAGAGTACATACTGCTGTGGAGTTGTCTTTGGGATTTTCAGGCGCTAAAGTTCCGCATGTGCATCTGCCGGGCCTGTTAAACTACACGTCACTATACAATGCTGCTAAGGTGGTACAATTTTTCTGATCCTGAAATGAGTTACAAGTGAGGTTCCAGGAAGATTTCCAGCTCGTTGAACCGTCACTCTCACCACCTCAGGTTTCCAGGGTCAGTTGGTCTGCATGTCAGCGTTACCTCACTTAGGAATTCAACTTTAGAGAACTATGACCTATATGGGAAACTCATCTAAGCTTTCTAAGAAGCCCACCCTGGGGCCTCAAGTCTCCCTTGTATCCCTTGGGCCGGTAGGGGCAACGTACCTGCAGCGCGGCGAGCAGGATGCCACAAGCGATGGAGACGCTGATCTCATTGTAGTAGTGGATCTTTTTCTTGCCATTCGCAGCAAAGCCATGCACTTGCTTGAAAATGAGAATCAAAATGGGGGCAGTGTCCAAGTACTCTTTAATCCAATTGGTTCTGGGCAGGGGTGAGATTCAGGAGGACATTTGCTCAATGTTTTTGCTTTCTTTTACTACATTAGCTTAATGATAAAAATGAAAACATGTTAACTTGTCTTTTATGTTTATGTTGAAAACAGGTAGTTTTTCTGGTGTGTTTATGTTATTCATCTTTTTTATCCAACTCAGTGAATTCAAAAAACATGCATTTATAAGTTGCTGAACGACAAAAAGATACACCCTATAACTCAGAGAGCACTTAGCCAATACTTACAAAAGGAAACCTGATAAGTGCTACTAAAGAAATAGAAATCAATTGCTTTGGGAATGCTCCAGAATCTTAAATATTAATTTTTATTGAGATGATTGGGGAGAAGATCCCAAGAAATGACCTCAAGCTGGGCTTTTAGAGACCAGGCAGAATAGAGGGTGGAGAGGGCATCTCAGGCAGAGCAGAGAGGTGAGCAAAGCCAGGGTCAGGAGGAAGGCCCAGCCAGACAGGGGTCTCCAGCACTTAATGGGCTGGAGGGCGGCTGTGTGGCAGGATATGCTGAGCTGGCAGGTTCCAGCCAGACAGGACCTGGCCCTAGTGTGTGGTAAAGGGAGAGTTATCATCACAGGCTGCAGGCAGAAGAGTCACAGGATCTGGTCTGTTTCAGAAAGTGGATCCAGTGTGTCTGTGAGAGTGGTATTGCCAAGGGCAGAATTTTGAATACCAATACAAATAATCATCCCAGAGAAAGGAAAAGCTGATGGGAGATGACAACTATGTCCCCGGAAGGAGAAAAGACAAGGAAAGAGAACTCAGGAGACTGTGGAGATGAAGGGCGAGAGAGACAGAATTGGAATCCAGTACAAGAGCAGGTGAGGAGGCCATAATGATGGGGAGGGATTTCAGGGAGATGATGTTAGCCTAGTTACAAAAAAAGAAAGGAAGGTTTCAGGCAGCAAAAAGTCATTCACAGGTAGTATAAATGTGGCCCCCAGTAGAGAGGCAGGTATTAGGTGCCTTCATATTCCAAAGGCCTCCCGGCATGGCTTTTTGAGAATCTAGTCAGTATCACCCACCTCCTCCTAGTTCTACTAAATTCCACTCTGTTCTTAGAGTCCAGAGTTTTTAATGCCCAAAAGATTTACTTGAATTAACTTGTCCTCAGACTGCTTGGTAAAGTTATTTTGTAAGACCTAATCACCTTAAGCAAAATATGATTTGCTTCATCAAGATTTTGAAAAGTATTTCACAATCTCATGTTCCAGATGCATGAAACTGAAGTGATTCTTCAGAGTTCTATTTAAAAAATTATTAGCTGGGTCAGAACTCATAAAATAATAAGTCAGCGGCAAGGCCTGACTTAATGTTCATAATTTCTTCCAGAGATAGAATCTAACTTCCTGGCAGATGGAACCAGGATCAGATTTGCTTAGTGCATGTGTTGAAAAGCCACACCGAATCACATTATGATGCACAATAAATAAATGCTAATGGAATATAAAATATCATTTAAAACCAATAAGCCCAACAAACTCAGTTGTTTAATTTTAGGAAGTCAAACCAAACATCCACCGCCTTTGTACCTCAGTTTCTTCAGATCTGTAACCCAGCGGGGTCCCATTCTTTTCATGTAGTTTATTTCCTCTTCCTCTTCCACGATCTGTCGGATTTGGTGCTTCACAGCTGGGTCCTTCACCACCACAAAGGTCCAGGGCTCTGTGTGGGCCCCACTTGGGGCTGTTCCTAGCACCCATTAAATTAAAATCAGACTTTAAAACTGCAGGGTAGTGTGAGATCCTTCACTCAGAGTAAACAGAATGCTTCTTCCTTGTTCAGAATGAAGTTACATAATCTGAGAAGCAAAGTGCTTGCCAGTGGACTCTAGCCTGCAGCAACCGACTCCTATTCCTTCTGCTTTATTTTAAGTGTCTCAGAACTGTGGGAACTCATCACTGCCACTTAATTCATGGAGGACAAAACATCCCTAAGTATCTGTACCATGATCAGTAAGGAAACGTCCACGACAGCCAAATTCACCAAGCTGCCTTTAGTTTGGTATTCTTGAGAAAATATACTGTCATGAAGTGAATTGGGGAGGGAAAAATACCAATGGTAAAATGATTTCTAAAATATTCCTGAACAGGCAAACAAACCATGCATTATTTAGTGCCTCCAGGATTTGGCATCTTCTGGGGGAGGAAGAAGAGCAGTGTAACTTTCTGTTCCTGTGCGCGTTCAAAAGCTCAGCCCACAGCTGGATCAGCTCCTGTACCCAATGGGGCTCCCCTTCATCCAAGGAATTTGAATTTCCTGTGTCATTCTTGGGATGGGGGTGTTGGGTCAGCTTCTGATCCATGGACCATCCCTTAGTCACAGGAAGGCTTACTGTTCCCAAGGGTCAAACACAGTGGATTGCAGATGGGATATTTCAGAAGCAATGATTTCTTCTTTCGTAGCTAGTAGTTTAGTGTAATAAACTCTACTTCTTCAGGGAGTGAGGCCTGTGGACTCTTAGTGGAGATTCTTGACTCCCACCCAACACTCTCAACAGCAGAAGTCATCCTTGGTTGTGCAATAAAAGTCAAAAGCTAAGCAGGAGACCTAAATTTCTACAAAGTGATTTCAGTTAATTTTGTAACCATTTTACTAAACATTTGTATCTCTAAACATAGTAAAAGAATCATTTCTCAGCCGTTTGCGGACTCGAGGGAGAGAGAGCAAGGCCACACCAGCAGGCAAATCCAGTCTGGGAACCAGTGCCATGCGTGGGTGGCCGCCAAAGTAGGAACAGTCAGACCCTAGCTCCTTCTGGCATGCAGACTGGCCAACAAGAAGTACCAACACACACATATACCCCACCCCCCATCCCCATCCCCATAAGCAACCTGCATCTGGATAAACTCAGGCTGTGATGATAGGTGAAATGCAATTGGATGCCTGTGGTGCTTTGGTGTTTCACTGACCTTGCAGGTGTAGGGTCAGTGGTCTGATCGGCAGTACATGGTGTGACATCTAGCGGGGAGTTCCTTCTCATGGTTGCAGCCATTGTTGGTTCCCTATGGCCTTGTTTTGGAAGTCCTATATCATTTCCAATGTTTTATTGGGTTTTATTCTCTTTATTTTGCTTGATTGTGTTAAATCTGATGGCAGGAGCAACTATTTCAAAGATAGCGAGATATATTATGGTAGCCATTTTGGACTTACTTAAAGCTTGTTTTGAAATGCTTTATTGCATTCTTTTTTGTTTTTATTGTTCCTGTTTTGGTCTGTTCTGTTTGATTTTCACTATGTCCAAAGTTGTCTGTAGCTATTTTGAAGACATCAAAAGGCCTTATGGTAACTATCGTTGATATTGTAATGTTTTGAAGTCCTGTGTCTTTTATACTGGTTTGTTGTGATTGGTTTTGTTCTGTTTTATCTCTTTAAAATAAAATGAAAAAAGGAATTGTCTGTCTAATAAATTAGGCAAATTTACCTTAATATCACATGTTCATACACAAATATATAGATAAACAAGAAATTTCATGAATGCTGCTATTTAAAGCACTCGACAAGGGCTGAGGGGTTAGCACAGTGGTCGAGTGCTTGCCTAGCATGCACAAGGCCCTGAGTTTAATCCTCAGTAGAAAAAAAAAAAAGAAAGAAAAAAGTGAAATCACTCAACAATTTAATACTGTTATATTCTTAACCAAAACAAAAAATATTTTATATTCATTTTAAGTTAGACAATAGAGTCACAATGACTATACAATAATTTCAACAAATGAGCCTAAATTTAGATTTAGATAAGAGTACGATTGACTAGAGGGAATACTCAGGACTCTTATTCTTTTAACTTCTCTCCTGTTTCTGTATCCTCACCTCCTGCCCCAATTAATTTACACTAAAAATGAGTTGGTCTTGCTTTGGTTTACTTTGTAAATTCACACAGATTAACTTTGCTAGTTCATTACTATTCTATAGCAAAGTAAACTTCTAGCACAGTAAGCTTTATAGGTAAATTTATCACTCTCACCTGCACTCACATGTTTGAATTTCAATATTATTCCAGTAGTGTCACTCCAGGAGGGCAGCTGAAATCCTCAAAGACCCAACATGTGTTCACTAACCTGCTGTTTTGATGACACTGTCAATGACCTCCATTGGAACTTGCTCATTGCTTATGAACCGGACTGAGCGTCTCTTATTGAGAAGTTCATAAAATTCCTGAGCTCTCTTAACCATTTCCTCCTCAGGGTACCGGGTGTGGGAGAATGGGATGTGTTCAATGTGTTCCTCTGACTCCTGCCACTCATCAGCATCTGCAGATAAGAATCAGATGAGTCACAAGTTCAGCAGTCAATCCATTATAAGGTGGTCACCAGGCAAAGGAGAGTTCCTGAAAATGTCTGTAAGCTTATATAAGCTCAAAAAAGATCAATAGCACAAAGAAAAAGAGAAGAGAGGAGAAAGGAAGGCAGGAGGAGGGAACAGAGACAGAGACAGAGATAAAGAAGAGGAGGAGAAGGATGAAGGGGAAGAAGGAAACAAAAATGAAGTAGATCTACAGAATCCTGACTACTGATCTTGACTATTCTTTAACTCTAGACTTGTTATAAATCCAGAAAAAACAATCTTTACCTACAAAAAGATGAGGCTTTCAAATTTCCGCTAATGGTGGATTAGGTTATTTGAGACAATTCTCTACCTGATGAAAGTCACTCAGATCACCAAATGTGTTTTTGGAAGCTTTCTTTTTTAAACAGTTGAACTGACAAACTAGTAAAAAAATTAACAGACTCAAATTGAAGGGAAAACATAAACCTATAGGGGTAAGCACAAAAGTTACATTTTCCCTGATTGTGTCTGCCAATCCCTATAATTTGAATTTCCATTTTTGTATTTTCAGTGATCAAGGGAAACCAAAATCATAGTTCAGGCCTACACACAATGGGAAAGCTAACAATATGGACCCCGAGACTCTATCCTTCAGAAAAGTAAGAATTATTAAAATGCAAGCCCTCAATGGCCTATATCATTTTGGTATGTCCTGCCTCAAATTTGAACTTAGAGTAAAATGGTCTTGGTTGAAAATGCCCCAACTGGTTAGCAGAATAAAATGCAAATATACAAATAAACTCAAGTACACTTACTAGCACCAAATGTAATCAGGCACCTAAAGAAACAAAAAATTTTGAACAAAAAGTAGCAGAATCAATAAAAAATATAAAATCAGATGGCTAAAGATTCCAAATACTAGAATTGTTAGGTTCAGAATATAAAACAATTATGTTATTGTATTCAGAGTGGGAGGAGAAGACAAACACAAATCTATAAGGTACATGAAAGAATAAAATGTGATGAGGAAATAAGAAAAAGTAGGATATTTAGAACTGACCAATAACAGAATTAAGAGTTTAATGGGTAAATATATTAGCAGTAAATTACTTGAAAAATTAATGAACTGGAAAATAAAAAGAAAATATGAATGAGTTGAAAGATGAAATAGAAAACAGGAAAAAAAGGAACATAGTAAGGATGTCTAATATAATTTTTTCATAATCAAGAGGTAAAAAGGAGAATGTAGCAGAGGCAGTATTTGAATTCACAGTGGACAGCACCAAAATCCAGATCATTAGTAACTACTATGAAAGATTGTACTTGGACAATCTATCCACTGAAGTAGTGGATAGATTCCTAAACACATATGAATTACCAAAACTGAACCAAGAAGACAAAAAATCTGAACAATACAGTAACAGGCAAAAATGAAATTGAAGCAAATAAAACAACAAAACCCTACTAAGAAAAGCCCAGGATCTACAGGATTCACTGCTGAATTCTACAAGACCTTCAGGGACAGTGTAACACCAGTATGCCTAAACTCATCAGTGAACCTGAAAGGGAAAAAATACCTCCATCTCATCCACAGAGGCAAGAATTACTGTAATTCCAAAATCAAATGTGGACCCAACTAAAAAAGCTAAAGGACAATCTCTTTAATGATCGTAAAGGTAAAAAGAAAATCCTTAAGGTACTAGCAAATGGAATGCAGCAAATCATCAAAAAGACAATGCAGCATGACCAAGTAGGTTTTATCCCAAGGATGAAAAGATGGTTCAACATCCACAAATCAGAAAATGTAATATATCATATAAATAGAAGCAAGAACAAAAATTGTATGAATGGAGTTGATGCACATGAGCCGCAGCATGGCAGCGCACCCATCTGACCGCCACAAGCAACATAGTAAAGCTCATAAAGGCATGCGGCATGGGATGGGGGTGAGGGTGGCTATGGGGAGTCCAGGATCTGCAGAGGAAGATGGCAAAGACCATGTAGAACTGCAAGTCCTGTGAAGGTGAGAAAAGAACTCAGCAGAGTAGAACAGAAGCATTGTGCCAGCCAGCTCTGAAACCATAACAAGGAGGCAGTTCTGGCAGAGAAGAGACAGCTAGCAGCAACTCATCAGGTGCTGGTGGTGCCTTCGTATAACAGAATTTCTTTGTCTGAAGCCCCTCACTTGCTTCAGCATAGGAACATGAGAACAGTGCTCCTGCAGAAATGGGAGAACACTCAGTGCTTTATGCTGCTGTGCCTAATTGAAACATTGGTGTTTTTTTTACATCTGCAAAGCCAGGGCATCTGCATACTGTGTTAGACATGGGTAAAGTGGTTGACACCATCTTATTCCTCTTTGATCCACTAGAAGGCTGGGACAGCACTTGGGATTATCCCTTTTCTGCCTCTGCTTAGGCCTCCCTACCTATACACTAGCTGTTCAAGGGGTTTCTGACCTCCCACCTAAGAGGCTGGTAGATTCCAGAAAGAAGCTAAGTAAAGTAGTGGAAAGTATTTTCCTGATGATAAACTCTTCCTGTTAGACATTCAGCAGGAGGCAGGGATGCTGCTTAGGCAGCTGGCTAACCAAAAGCAAAGACATCTTGCTTTTGGAGATTGGCAAGCCTACTTGTTTGTCTATGCTGCGGATTTTGTGCCCAAGGAAGAGAATAACTTGGTGGGCACTTTGAAAATCTCAGGCTATGTGCACAGGCAGACTTTGAATATAAATAGCTTGCTGTATATCTCTGGACATGATGATTTTCAAAAGAAACAAATTGATACCCCTATGGATCCTTTCCTTTTAAATCCTAGAGTTATTAACTCTCAGAAGGATCCAGGCATGACAAAGGAGGTTTGTGCTACAGATGCTGTAGCTGATATGAAACACCTTAAGGTCATGACAAAGGCAGACTCTAACAGACAAGAGTCTTTGCAAACAGAAGTTATCCCAGAACCAGTGGAAGGGGAGAAATCCTGGCCCACTGAGGAGGAGCTGAATGAGGCAAATGACTTGTTGAAGGAAAGTTTCAAGGTGGTAAAGAAGGTTCCCAAAGGAACATCCAGTTACCAAGCTTAGTGGATTTTGGATGAAGGCGGTAAAAGTGGTGGGGAAGGAGATGACTGATGATATAGAACATGAGGATTTTAAGGAAGAGGAATCTCAGCATGAAAGTAGGGAAGAAGAAGAGGTGGAGAAATGTGAAACTATGATGATCTGTATGATGAGAAAATGGATGAAAAGGCTGAGGAAAAAATGTTGGAGAAATATAAGTAAGAAAGGGAGGGTCACAAAGAGGGTGGAACAGTAAGCAGCAGAGTAAACAGCATCTCTGGGAGAAACAGTCCAGACGCTGGAATATAGCATTCTGGAGAAGACAAGAAGGAAGGAAACGGGTCTCCTCAACCTGTTGAAAGAAACTTAAGTGAGAATTGAAACCCACAGAGAGAATAGAAAAACAAAGAAAGAAAAACATAAACAGAAGAAGGCAGGAGTTGGCAGCACTTTCACCAGAGCTGGAACCACCATGCCAGAAGCACTGCTGGAACTTGGAGACACACAGTCATAGTGAAGCTGGTGGCTGGCAAGCCCAAAGGCCTCTCTGGGGTGACGTGGTAGCAGAGGGGAGCAGCAGACCAGAGAACTTCACCGGCTGGTGGTGAGTTCCTGTTCCACCCCTGCTTACACTCCAGGAGCTGCTGGGAAAAGCAGCAAACAGCAGAAACCCCTAGCCAGTATGCTTTGGAGTAATTATAACCAATACAGGAAGGTCTGGGGACTCCACCACCCACTTGTCTGGGAGAAGACAGGAATATGACAAGAGGAAGAAGCAAAATGCAGTCTCTGGTCTCCAACCCAAGCAGTACTGGTCCAGGAGATGTAAACCTGGAAGAGATTGGGAGCCACACTCCTGCAATTTCTGAAGCAACAGCAACTGAAATAAAGAAACAACTTCAAGAAGCTATTAAAAAACTTAGAACAGAAATACTATTGCAGGTTAAAGAAGAAATGAGAAACATAATCAAAGAATTGCTAAGCACCTCTATAGAAGACACAGATGGAAGAATAGAGGAGCATAGAAAAAGGAGGGGAAACCTTCAGTGAAGAATATAAAAAAATTTAGAGTACATGAAACAGATTCAAAGAGATTTTCAGGGTATTAAAAATTTTATTGAAAGCTGGCAAAACTGCTTGAAACAAACTAAAGATAGACTACCAAATCTTGAAGACAGGTTTTCAGCTTGCGATCATGAAAGGAAAGATCTCTTAAAAATAACAAGGAATCAGGACGTAACAATACAAAGCCTAGAAGATGACTAAAGGAACTATAACTTAAGAATAAAAAATGTGAGTGAAGAAGCAAGGGTAAATACAAATGAAATACACAGGCTATTTACAGAAATAATTAAAGAAAACTTCCCAAGCATAGGAAAAGGAAATAATATTCAGATAAATGAGGCATGCAGAACTTCAGCCAGCTATAACCAAAATAGATCTACACCCAGACATATAATAATCAAGATCCCAGAAATTCATCACAAGAACAGAATATTAAAAGCTGTCAGAGAAAAGAAACAGATGATCTATAAAGGAAAACCCATCAGAATCACGACAGACTTCTCAACACAAACCTTCAAATCAAGAAGAGCTTGGAGTGAAGTATTCCAAGTTCTGAAAGAAAATAACCTCCAACCCAGATTGATGTACCCTGAAAAAGTATCTCTCAAAATTAATGGGGAAACAAGATACTTCCATGACAAAGAGGAACTAGAGGAGTTCATGACTCCCAAACCAACCCTACAAAATATATGGAAGGACATGAGAGAGAGGAGAGAGAGAGAGAGAGAGAGAGAGAGAGAGAGAGAGAGAGAGAGAGACCATGGTTTCAGCAACAGTGGCAGAGGAGGCTCATTGAATGAAGCAGACAGTGGAATGAAGGGGAAAAGTACACAACCAATGGCAGAAAAATAGCATGGCAGA